AGGCGCTGGGTAGGTTCTGACCTTTCACATGTCAAGTCGTGCTCTGAGGCCGTGAGGGCATGTGGTACACGGAAACTGAGAGTTTCTCCAGAACTTCAGCTCGTGTACAAGCGAGACGGTGGCGCGGGCTGAGTACGAGGCTGGGGCTGCGGGAAATGTCTGGGCAGGCAACCAGCGCAGCCCCGTCGTCGAATCAACAAAAGGTGAGGCTGGTCCACGAGGGTGCTTTGACCAGATAATGTCAAAAGCTTCCGCGATGTTGATGAAAGGCAACTTCTTTGATCAACACAAGGCGAAAGAAAATGATGTCGTCGCTATGACGCTAGTCCCGATTGAGCGGGGTGACTCGTATAATAATACTCATCAGCTCCGGTCACGTTGACGATTCTACATTCAAAGGTGTTGGGAAACCTGATCTGGAGCATTTGTGTGGGCTGCTTAGTAGTAGAAGTGGTATCTGTGGTTCTGAAAGACACGAAAGAGACGAAGGAGCGGCTGGGCTGCTTGGAAGGTCCTCAACCGCAGCTGCCACTGAAATGTTCCCGATTCAAAGACTGGACGGCGCTTGCTTTATGATGTTTTTGTGATGCAGCAGCGACGTCTGACTTAGAATCAGGGTGCCTCGTCGCAGAGAAGAAGAGCTAACAGCTCCTACGAATCACTCCTAGATTCTGAATTGCCCCCGCACACAAGTAAACACTGCGGCTCATACATCTTTTGCCATTGCCCTGCAGAATAAGATGGTGCTGCTCAGGACACAAAGTTGACAGACCTTCTTCCACGACCCGTCAGCTTGCTCAGATGGTTAGATTGTGCTGTTCCTCACCTCGAGACTTTCATCCACATGGCTTCATCATCGCGTACCCAACATCAGGTTCCAGCAGCGTGGTGTATATGCCAGTCAACCGCTCCCTCGACAAACGCCTCTCTTACAGCCTTCGCAATATTCGGTCTCATGTGGCTTGCCTGGCTTGGAGGCGTAGGGTGGCCGCTCCATCTCAATCCCTGCCCACACCTGGATTCTGTACGCGACTCGTTCGACGTATGACTTCTTGTCCAGGATTAAGATTCCCAGCTGGTTGCACGTCCTGCAACGCTGATTGAATACTTCGGCATTGTACCCGTTGTCCATGTAACCTCTTATCAGGATTGCCACCTTCTTACTGGTCCAGCCATCTTTACAGCAAGCGTTCTTCCTCCCCCTGAACCTGCCTTTGATATGGGTCTGCCACTCGTTGTTGGCGTCCCTGTCGCTATTGGTTTCACAAAACCAGGTGGAGGGGACGTTGTGGGACACTGCCTTGACAACTTCGTCGTGGAGAGCCGGATACATGAATGAGGTCTTCATTTTCCGCTTGGGTTTTGCCGAGTTGTTTCCCATTTTTAATGTTGCAATGAGGTTGTCTGAGAAGAGATATGTGAGAGTTGCGCAGGATCATTCAAGAGCTTGGGAGAGCTGACAAGAAGGGATTAAGAAGGTTAAAGAGGGGAGGTTGAACGCCCCGGATCTGTCATAAGGTGAGGCGGCACCTTGCATCTCTAGATTGAATAACAGCTGGTCATGATGGATGGCTGCCTGTACGCTTCACTGGTCGGAGGACTGACATTGTGCATTTCACAAATCAGTCGGGATGCAGTCTGCCCTGCAGGGATGGTTGTGGCTACCAATTGCACAACACCACGTCTCCTCCAGGTTTGAGGCACTGAAAGTCAAGCACGTACCGCTGTCGACGTTTGGACTGACCCGAGGACTAGATTTGCCCATTTTCAAAGGCAAGCGGAGTTGCAGTACCTTTCTGCTACCTCGGGCTTCGCCTACAACATCCATCGCCATGGTGTTCTGGTCGCGAGAAGCGATTTGAACCACAGAGCCGTCATATAGTACCGGTGCATGTGGCAGATTGTCATTCGCATTGCTTTAAAACAAGGCTTCTCTAACGAAGTTGATTCTGGGACTTGTCAAAAAGGGCACGTACGGCTGCATCTCGCTTGAGGAGGCTCCCGTCTTTGGTCAACATTGAGCGGTAGGTTGTGGCTCCCTAAGTCTTCAAGCTCAACACCTCCGAATGGTACCTTCTAGGTCATCTTCTCCGGTATTGTGCTTCCAAACTCGTCCTGGTTCGGCTCCGGATAGGATTCAGACCTACGAGTGCCTACTGTGAAGACGGTGCTTGTATTGATATAGCAGAGACAGCTTTAAAACGAGCTACCCCACCCACTGTCAGGCGGGGTTCCGGGGGGAAGACGGAGCTGGGGTTCGACCCAGCCAATCGTTGGGAGGGGGACTTGGTAGTTACGGTGGCTAGATTCCTAGAGATCCAGACACCTAATGGGTGCCTAGGTGTACCGAGGCGCGCACTAAAAGTATTGCCAATGCTAGTAATGGAGTGACAAGGTGATCAAAAGACAACAGACTTTATTTTCGTTGTCCTTACAGCGGCCTCCGGGGATATCGGAGCTCAATCCTTAGTGCCTACAGCGTCTATCAAGATTGAGAATGTAGACTACACTGTCGCCTATTAGGTCTAACTTATTACTAAGAGATAGGCATAAGTGCCTATAAGCTCAGAAAATCTTCTTTTATAGTAAGTAACGTTTGTCATTTGAATTAGAGTAAATAGTACTTTTAGTGCGCGCCTCCGTACGTGGTACTGTTGACTTAGTCTACAGAACCGCATCTGGGCAACTGGATTTCCTAGTAACAGCCCGTGTACAACGCCCGTGGCGGCGTGATTGGAGCACCGTGACTATACCACAAACGGCGTCTCGACAGGTGAACCTCTGATCACGCATTGGGAATCGGTGGCGCTTCGTTCGGATGGCTTTCGACTCCATGTTCATGGCTCGGATATTGGATGCATTTGCTCAAACCTCAACGGTCAACTTACGGCGTATCTGGGGGACTGGGGAAGGGCTGGGGTTGTACTCTGAAGTAAGTCATGATATGTAGAGGTAATATTTGGGCGATTGAATTGGGGAGAAGGAGAAGAAGGGGTTCAAGATCCTGTAGTTGTATCGACAGTATCGATTGTAGGTCTCGCTAGGACTCAAATCAATCATCCAATCTATCCACATTCGCCATTGAGTCTTTCCACCGCATGAAGCCCGCCAAGGTTCATCAGAGCAGGCTCCGGATAAAATCGATCGTGATTTGCCAACCACTCTTAGCAACTTCCACGGCTGCCGCATCAAACAGCGTAAACCCATGGGGCGCGCCGGGCACGAAACGCAGCGCGGCTGGATTCCCCGCTCGAAGCCAGCGGAAATGCATCAAGACCGAATCGTCGACCAGAGCGTCCTCGGTCCCGACCAGGAAGAGCGCCGGACACAGTCCAGATAAATCAGCGTAAGCTGGAGACACCGCTCTAGTCTTGCGGACTTCCAAGGGCATGTCTTCGATATAGGCGCTGTAAAACCGTTCGGCGTCCTCGAGTGTAAGGATCGGAGATGTGCTGGGCGCGAGCTTCAACGAAGGGAGAATGGACAGGTCGAAGCACCCATAACTCAGGGCCACGCCCTTGATCTCTGCAGCTTTATTCCTCTCCTTGAGATGAAGCAAGACCAGTGCGCACAACGTCGCCCCTGCAGACTGGGTCAATGTCAGCTACTATTCCGCAATTCGAGAGGGGGTAGTGATAACCTCTCCACCCAGAAAGCAGAGTTTGCCACCTAGCTAAAGTACAGTCGTCAGCGGGAGAACTATGCTGGTGACGGCGACACTCACTGTTGCTTCTGAATTCGTCACAAGCCATTCGGCAACATCTTCGCAATCGTGCAGAGCGGCAGGGTATTTATGCTCAGGTGCAAGTCTGTATTCGACCGAGAGCACCGTTAAGCCCGTGTTTTCTGCGATGTGACTCAAAAGGTGATCCTGGCTTGATGATGATTCAGACAGGATCTCTCAACGGGGCGATGGACTCCTTACCCTTTAGCCGTCCCCAGAACCCAGCCGCCGCCGTGGATGTGCAGGAAGATCCCTCGCTGTTGGGTTGACGGCGTGGAAGGCTTGATGACTCGGCACAAGACAGTTCTCCCGGTTTCCCTTGACGGAATGTCAATGTTTGTGGCTCCTTCAACATATTTGAATGCGGGAAAGGCGGCCTGGCCTTTCTCCCGCATGTCACGGTAGACTTCTGCTCCGACCTGACGATGGTCAGCCTCGCGTTATGGTGACTTTAGGGACCCCCGTTCAGGCGAGCCAAAGATGAGCAAATGCCCATACCTCCCACCATTTCGCATCCTCCTGACTTTTGGAGTAAATGGAACGGTTCAACTGTATCGTCTGAGGATTCACATTGGCAGGGTCAAAAGCGCTCAGATCGTATACACAGTCCGAGGGGACTTTGCTCAGGGCCGTGTCCATGTTTAGCTTTAGCGCGACAATCTCTATGCGCGTGCAAGGGGCAAAGCGAAATAGACCATGAATGCTGAGTGTTACCATCTAACAAAGCTTTTTGTTTGGAACTCGCGGATGGGGTTCAACCGAGGCTCTTCATCCAGCTGGTGGGGGATTCATCCCAGATGCCCATTTCATCCGATTGGTACCAAGTTGGTCCTGACTCGTGGCATTCTCCGAGCGAACCCAATCGGCTGTGAGCATAGGTGCCGAGACCCATGTATGTACACGCCACCATGTCAAGCAGCCCTTCTTTGGCCAGCATGCGTGGATCTATTCTCCAGCTGCTCTTCCGGCGGTGGAGCTCCATTTCCCGTGGCTGGACATTCGGCCTCAGGGAAACACGCGATACCGGACTATGTTTCATCGAAGCCGCTGGTCACCCAATTCATCAGGTGAATAACGGTAAGCCTGGACCGAGTGGCAAGCGAGCGCGTGTCTGCACCATGTCCAGTCTCGTAGTGCCGTCATGGCAGACTGATATAGAGCTTGACCAACCGACCAAGACTCCCTTGAAATCCGCAAGCTACACCGACCAGACACTACATCTCGACAGACAGTGGCCGTAACCTGTGTGCCCCTGACACGTAGTGAGAATCTCAAGATGGCCCCTGGAATTGTGACGGACGAATCCATCCCCGACACACCCGGTGATGTACTGGAGGCAGTGGTCAACTACGCAAAGAAAGTCCCCAAGGCAGACGAGACAGGCTATGTGATACCCGACACTTATCTTGGAGCCCGACGTCCCATCAAGATTCTGATAATTGGCTTTGGTGCCGCGGCCATCAACATTGTCCATGCGATCGGCCAACAGAAGGACAACAACGTCGTGGTACAATGTTACGAGAAGAACGATGAAGTTGGGGGTACGTGGTATGAGAATAAGTATGCCTCACACAGAGACCGTCAATCTGGATTCTGCTGATTCACTCCTTTCTAGATATCCCGGTTGTGCTTGTGACATTGTAGGTGTCTCAACCTCTGATGTGCTGGACTGACACTAACTCCTGGCACAGCCAGCCGTCAATTATATGTTTTCGTGGCACTCAAAGCCGGACTGGACCAGCTAGTAAGGCAGCTTATCCCTCGTCATCCCTGGTGCCTTTTTCCACTGACAGGAGGTAGCTATGCAACCTCACAGGAGATCCTGGGGTACTTCAAGGATATTGTGGACAAGCATCACATGCAGGGTTTTGTTAAGCTGAGGCATGCAGTGTCTGGCGCGTGGTGGAATGAGGAGACCGGAAAATGGAAAATCAAGATCACCCCTAACGGAAACGAGGAAGCCGCTTTCTACGACGAAGGGGAAGTCCTCATCAACGCGACCGGAGTCTTGAAGTGAGTGATACCTACGTTGAAGGCGACAAAATGCCAGACTTTGTGTGGTATAGTGTGCAGGCTGCTAATCAAACCAACGTCCCAGTAACTGGAAATGGCCGGCTGTCCCTGGAGTCGAGAAATTCAAGAATAAAGTCCACAGTGCGGCCTGGGACGATACGGTCGACTTGGACGACAAGGTCGTTGGCATCATTGGAAATGGCTCGAGTGCCGTCCAGATCATTCCCGCAATATTTCCTCGTAAGTCTAACAGAACGCTGGAAACGACTCACAGAACACTAAAGACTCGGCATAGGTGTGAAGAAAATGATCTCCTACCAACGGTCATCCACCTGGATTACAGCGGGTTTCGCCCAGAAGTACGCTGGTGAAAACGGCGCCAATTTCAACTGTGAGAGCCCAAGCAACTCGACAAAGCAAACAGACTGTAGCTGACCTGAGCTCAACAGACACTGAGGAGCAAAAGGCCGAATTCGCTGCCAATCCAGCCAAGTACCTCCACTATCGCAAGATGGTGGAAGAAGAGCTCAATCAACGATTTAAATTTGTTAGTCTATAATCTGAGTGGCGTGTCTGGAGGCCGAGCTAATAGAATCTTGATTAGATCATTAATGGGTCGGAGGAGCAAGCGGAAGCACTTGCTGTAAGTCTCTATCGGACAGTCCGAGTCATACTTCAGGATGCTGACACTGCTCTAGTTTGCAAGGCAGGAAATGGCCAAAAAGCTCTCAGGAAGAAAAGACTTGATCGAGAAGATGGTTCCCACCAACTACGCAGTAGGCTGCAGGGTATGTTACCAGGCCCAAGTTGGTCTACTCATCGCCCTTGACTTGCTAACCTCCTACCACAGCGACCAACACCAGGTAACGGATACCTGGAGTGCTTGACCAATGACGAAAAGTGCGAGGTGACATTCTCCCCGATTCAGGAGATTACCGAAGACAGCATCATCACGACTGATGGAAAAGAACGCAAGATCGACGTCCTTGTCTGCGCTACAGGGTTTGATGTATCCTTCCGACCCCGATATCCCATTGTAGGTAAACGGGGGATCGACTTGCGAGATGCCTGGAAAGACCAACCGTACACCTATCTCAGCGCAACCGTCCCAGACTTCCCCAATTACTTCAGTAAGTCCAGAGAGTTCCTCTTGAATCGACATGGCTCAGATTCTTGCAATTTGGAGTTCCATAGCTGACGATCGTCACTCCCAGTGATCAATGGGCCGTTTGGGCCCTACGGTCACGGCTCCATTCTCCCTGTGATCGAAATCATTACACGGTATCTCGAGAAGTTTGTGGAGAAGCTCCAGACAGAAGACGTGAAGTACTTTGCGCCCAAGATGGAGGCGGTGGAAGACTTCAGACGCCATCGAGAGCTGTTCCTGAAGCGGACCGCGTGGAGTTCGCCCTGTCGGTCGTGGTTCAAGGGTGGCACAGTCGATGGTCCCATCATGATGTGGCCGGGAAGTCGATTGCATTTCTTTGAGGCAATGGCGAAACCGCGCTATGAGGTACATACTTTCCGCCTTCTCCCCCTTTTCCTACATGTCACCAAATGCCTTGCGACCCAGCAGCTGACTTTTTCTCATTCAAAATAAAAAGGACTATAATTGGGCATACAACAGTGTCAACAGGTTCTCGTACTTTGGCAATGGCTTCTCGCAGAGAGAGGTGGATGGGAATGACATTTCTTGGTATATCAACGGGGTCTAGTGGCGCTGGTTGGTCACAAATATGGGACATATGGTAGATCTGGTAGAGATAGAAGTAGCTGTGTTCAATCATAAAGTGTTGACCTTTGGCTTCTAGCTTGAGTTCTTCTGTCCTCCCCAATAGTCGAGCTCTTTGTTATGCTACACTCCTCCAAATAGATTACGAAGTTCCCATGTGACAGCTGCAAATATCTGTCTGTGAGCGGTGGGATGGGACATGGGATCAAACCAGAGCCTCGCCATCTTAGTGCAACCCGGCACTTAACCGAGGATTGAAAGTTTTCATTCAGTAGAGATAGACAAGCTATGAATAGTGCAGGTCAACTTCGACGAGCTGAGCAGAGGACCAGACCTCTCTACCCTGATTTCCCGACTTGGCCCAATCCGCTGCATGTCCCTGGAACGTGAGGTAGTCTTCCATCGCCCAGAGTGCGAAGCCGCCAACAGTTCGTGGCGGCGAGGCTAATGAATGCTGTACCCGACTCCAATTGGGTCGGTTGTGTGATTTGGGCCGACGACTGTGGGTCACTCAAAACTTCCTGGTCAGCCGAACATCGCGTCTAGCACAAGCATGGAACATTTGGAGTTTGGCCGAGGTTGGAGTCAGTGAGGAGGGCACGGCGGGACTCGACTCTTGGTATACTTGTTACGTAGCAGGCTGGCAAAGGCGAGGACTTTGTTACAAAAAGACGTGGGTAATGAGACAGGGCCATTGTTGAACAATATCAACCATAATCCGCCACGGGGTGTTTAACCATCTGATCCTTCGAAGACGGCGCAGAAGAAGTGCTTGTGAGATAGCCCAAAAAACAACAACAGCCAAAAACCCAACCCCTCTTGGAATACTAAGAGCGAAGAAATGTCTACGAGCCACAGCGACCCAAATGCCGTTGACTGCAGTGTCGAGGCTGATCGGAGCAAACTCAAGGGCAAGACGGCCATCATTACAGGGGGTATGTATATCCTACGTCTTCCGAGCCAGATGATGAGCATTTCATCGTCTGAGCTGGCTGGCAGAAGCAGCCTTCCGCCCCTTGACAATTGACTGACTGACATTGAACCTCTTCCAATAATACAGGGGCAAATGGAATAGGGGCGGTCTATGCCCGATCCTTAGCCAGCGCAGGGTACGCTCCGTCATGCCATAGAGGACTCCGTCATGGAATCCTGAGAGAGTCTCCCCGGGACAGCTAATGGCGGTTTTTCTTGCAGGGCTTATGTCATGATCGGTGACCTCGATGACCGTCGTGCGGCAGAGATAGCATCATCATACCCAGGGTACGCTTCAACCCCTCAAGAAATATTTTATATGTCCCCCTCTTCAAACCCTTCCAATTGGCACGGTGGGGTTTGCCCGCATAGCACCCTGTGCAGAACTCCTTTCTAACACCTGGCAATCTGCCTCTTTCCCAACAGACAAATATGGACCTCGCATTGTGACGTGACCAATTGGGAGGACCAGGCAAAGATGTTCGAAGAGACGCTGGCAAAATCGCCCAGTGGTCGTGTCGATATTGTGGTCGCCAATGCTGGAATTAGCGGGCAAGATCCAGTGTTTGTGGATGACTGTGAGTAGTCACTAACCACCTGCTCCGGCCTCAACTCCTTGCGAGGACAACGAGATGGCCCGATCCAAGACTGACTTTTGGTGTGTGTGACCCGTCAAGCCACCGCACCGACACCGCAGAAGCCAAATCTCAAGATATTGGACATCAACCTAATTGGCGTCTTCTACACCATCAAGTTGGCTCTGTTTTACTTCCGCAAGCAGTTCAACGCGGCTGTCTCGGCAGGGAATGAAGGCCCGGACTCGAGCCTTGTTCTGCAGGGCAGTCTTGCCGGCTACGTTGACCAACCCGGTTCACCACAGTACAATGCTTCCAAATTCGGGCTTCGGGGCACTATGAGGTGCTTGAGAAGGACATCGTTGCAACACGGCACCAGGGTTAACTATATCGCGCCATGGTAAGAATTGTGTATCGATTGCCATGTCTCTGGCGCATTAGTGTCCCCGTGGGCCATTTAGGGGGAGATCAGAGCAGCCTTTCCCAAAACCTGCGTATACGGATAATGAGCTGACCATGCACCCGACTCTCCAGGTACATCAAAACCGACATTATCAGCGATGCTGTCGCCGAACGCATTACCTCGAAAGGAGCCGTCTTCGCCTCGATTGATGACGCGGGCGAGGCTCTCGTGAGGATCGCCTCCGACACAAGTGTGCAAGGTAAGTGATCGATTTGATTGTCTGTTTTCTTGACTGCACATAACCAAAGTGAAAATTCATCTACAATGCTCCGACATGCTGATGCCCCCATTCCAGGTCGATCATTGGCGATTGTCCCTCGCATCTGGGCGCCCCTCGGATACTTGGATGTGGATCATGACGACTACAAGGATGGAGATTTCCTCAAAGGATGGCAAGAAATAGTTCTGAGGACTAGCCACAGACTGACAGGGCCATCTGTCATCAACTGAAGGAGATGAGAGGTTGTTCTTGTTGAGATATGGCTTAGATAGGATTGGAAATCTCATTACTTGGTGATCCCCACACAGCCCATTGATTTGGGAGACCAAGGCTGTAAATGATCTCCTGACCTCTCTTCCACAATCTAACCATCTCCCCCCACCTCGACTAGTAGCTTTCTCGCTTCGCAGTCTGCGGAGGCATGGAGAAGGAGGACATTCGCAGGGAACAAAGTGGAGCCACGTCTTTCCTTTTACGGTTAGTGCGCTCCGGTCAACCTCGGACCGAATTCGCCACGGACCACCAGGGGACTTTAATATCCCAAATCTGCCGCGTTTGTGCCTTTCGGTCGGCAAGGAAGGGATCTCTCCTCTATCTTAGCCTGTCAATCGGATCAAAGGCATCGGCAACCAGCAACCAGGATGCTCTCTTTGGATACTGGAGGTGAAGCTCGACAAGGTCCGGCGGCCTCTCGTGGGGCGAGGGCAGCTAGAGCGTGCGTGCGCTGTCATGCTCGCAAAGTCCGCTGCAATGCGGCTACGCCTGGAAATGACGGACGGTGTTCCTCCTGCGTGTCGATCGGGGTTCCATGTGAACTTCTCCCAGAACGAAGACGGTTCGTTTTGGGACCCCGCCCTAAGCAGGGAATCACAGCTAACTTGACCGATTTGTAAGGCAATATCGCGAGCGTCAGAAAAGTTCCTACAGCAAACCTGCCACTCGGGTCGATGGTCTGCCGGGAAACGCGCGGAATGCATCTGTAGACGGCCTGCAAGCTCCGCTGAAGCCTAAGCCGACATCTATCGACCAAGCTCAACCTGTTGTCGAGGCAGCGACGAGACTGCCGGGCGCATCGATCAGTAGTGATTATGGCGTGCGAAATCACGGGCTTCAAGGCACGGCCTACATCCAGGACGAGGCCCAGCGCGAGCTTATCGACTTTCCAACGGTCGACTCGTCCTCGTCAGGAGTAAAGTCTTCAGCAGGTGGCGGCGCTTCCAATGCTTTCGAGAGCAATGTCTGGAGCGGTCCTCTCGAGGCTGTCAGGCAGACGTCTGAGGGCCACTCTGCGCCTTCCTGGGGATCAGCAAGGCCTGAGCATTCTGCTCAACCGACGACAACTTCAACGGTAAAAGCCAGACCCCGGAGATATTTTGTATACTCGGGCGACACCCTTTCACATTCTTTCCTGCCTCACATGACGGGCCACCGACGTTTCAAAAGAAGCAGCCGCCTTGTCCCAGAGACAGGACAGTCGACCTGTACGAGTCTCTCCAGCGAGCCATTTCCTGTCGCTACATGTCCATCCCGTCGGTGGGAGCCAAAAATACTCCAGCCCACCACCAGCGGAGACACTGTCTTCGGCCACTTGAACTCGGTGGACACGTTCTACCTTACGAGGCTCAAGAATATCCTCTATTTCCCAGAGACCTCTGTGGCACGCATGTTTTTCCTCGCATTCAGAGAACACGTGCTGCCCACTTGTCCCGTCACAGACAGATATGAGTTGAACGAAATCTACGAGAATTTCGTAAACGGGCACATCACCTGCCCCATGCTATTGCATTCGATTTTCTTTTCGTCGTCGCAATATGTCTCCCAGGATGCGCTGACAAGCGCGGGGTTTGACTCGCTTCACGAGGCAAAGGCATATTTCTACGAACGTGCGACCTTGCTCTACGCATTGAACTGTGAATACGACCAGCTCCGGATCATTCAAGCCCTTTTGTTTGTCAGCATGTGGTGGTCCGACTTCAGCGAGGAAAAGGGCACCAAATACTGGATCTCGTGTGCCGCGAACCTGGCACTGGCCATCGGACTGCACAAGGCAGTCCCCGCGGCGGCCCGTCTAAGTCAACAGGAACGATCAATGTGGCGCAGGACCTTCTGGACCGTTTACGTGAGTTTAACTCGTCGCAGGCCCCCCACACGGGTTTCCTTCGTTGTATTCTAACTGGGACTAGAGCAGGGATTGCAACGCGTCGGTTGCCATGGGCCGTCCCCTCACGATCAACAGCAAGGAGATCGACGTGGAAGAGCTTAGTGATGCAGACTTCTATGAAAGACGGGAGGCATCTCCCCTCGGCCGTTACCCTGGCTCCGAGGCGGAGGCTCTGGTTGACTTCACCGAATACTCGAGCACGCAGGTTTTTTACGCCGTCAGGACAGCTCGTCAAGCCGCTTTATGTAAGTTTGCAATTTGAGTCCTCTGGTGAAGCGTACATATCCATGATCGCCTTCGTGTATGACTTCGGCAGTGGTCCAAGTGAAGATGATTGACCTATGTCCCTCTCCAGTGGACCGAACGATCATAGTCGATTTGAACCATGCTCTCGGCAGCGAAGATGCCATCAGAGAACTGTATGAATGCCAACGTGAAATCACCATCCTGCGAACGGAACTATCAAGCTACATCGCCAGCCAGGCCGATGGGGGAGCGAAAGACGGAACTCCCGTCCCTACGGAGATGCGGTGGATCATGTTTCTGCAACTGAGTACCGAACGAACACTGTCGATCGTCTGTCGCTACCTTCGAAGACACCTTGAGAAAAGTCAAGCTTGGGATGCCACCTGCTCGCACAAAGTGTCCGAGATCCGCGCTGAACTGGTCCGGGCCGCTGCCAGGACACTGAACTTGTACGAAGAGCTCCTCAACTCTGATTGCTTGAGATATTCTCCCAATTTCCTGTAAGTTGACCATCTCTGCGTCTCAGCTCTTTATTTTTGGGTGCTCATCCAGAACATTTCAGGAACACCCCCATCTTCGGGGCCATGGTCACGTACGCCGAAATCATCAAAGAAGCACGCGAGAAAGGCCGGGTCGACAGGATTGCAACAAACAAGTACCAGCTTGGAACCATGATATTGGAGGAGATGGAGTCGTTCTGGCCTGCCTCGGCGTGGGCATGCTCCTTGTTCAAGATCTTGGCCGAAAAGGATTTCTTACCTCTCCGAATTCTGCCCCATGCGTCCCGGTGGCAGAGCCTGAACCGGGTAGCGAAGAAGTGGGAACCGAAACTGGAACCGGCTTCAACCAAGATGGTGGTGGAGGAGGTGGTGGTCCCCAGGCTGAAAGATCAGCGGAAAGATCATCCTTCGGCTACGATCCGTTGCAGGACGCGAACTTCTTCCTGAACTTCAACGCCAACAGTACCCTCGAGGCTATGTTCTCTGACGATCTCTTTGACCCACAAACGTGGTATGCCGCGATCTAGGCCCGCAGCAACGAAACTTACGTTGTCGTGTATGGGAGGGAGTCTGCTATTCATGGCTGGCTGGCTATCGCCGTTTGACCAACGACTTTGCTGTTCGGCCAGCGTGTATTATAGTGTGAGAGTTCTGGCCTTGCACGTGTACAATAATGTCTCCCAGAAGCAGACGACTCTGTCCGGGCCGGGCACCGTTTCTACTATTTCTACCTGAGTATCTTGTAAGTCCATTGATTGACGTTACCCTACGAACACAATGTTAAAATCCCAATAAGTGATACACTGGGTATTTTGATTGTTGAACAGCCATCTCGGAGAAAAAGTCTCTTTCCCTTATGGATGTAGCCGGGTCTGTTCAATGTCGTTGGAGCAATCAAGCAAGTAAGCAGCCAACAGCAAGCCCACCGATGTTTCCTTCTTCTGAAGCCATTGCTTTCAAGCCATCCCTCTGTTTCTTTGGCTCTGTGGCTTGTTGACCCTGGAATCATTATGCTCCTGCCACTCCCATGTCGCTCGTTCACTCGAACTTCGTTTTGAACGCCAGCGCCGCGGGATCTTCCTCCCACGAGACTCGGTCCAAGTGGTTCTTCGCCCCCAGCCACACCGGACGGGTGAGATAAAATCCCCAATCCACGTCAAAGTACTTGCCACAGGCGGCGTACAAGACCGTCCCCTGGCATTGGGGGCTGAGAGAGAGGTACGCGACCGCTTTCGCGGGGACGTCGGCCGGCTGCATGCACTCCCTGGCCGAAACGATCTTCTCGCGCTCCTCTGGAGGGATGATACCGGTGTCGGTCCAGAATGGGCACACGAGGTTAAGTCGGATGTTGTATTTCTCTGGGATGTCGGTCCGCAGGGTCCGGATCAAGCCCAAGAGCTGTACAAAGTGGCCACACACGTCCGGCCCCGTGGTCAGCAGATGACTTTGCCAGCGAGAGGGAGAAGGGGGAAAGGTCGTTTGCAGGCGTGCGTGCTTGCGACCTCTTGCTACAACAGCAGCTTACTTACACCGTGCTTGGAGACAGCATACATCGGGGTGCCTCCGACGCCATTGAAACCTGTGCTCGGGATTCAGTTAATTTTGACATCTTCTCTCTGTCATGTGGAGGGAAGACAGGTCAACAGTGGATATTCCAAAGGGTACCTGCGTACTTTTACCACTGCCGGTAATGACTATACTTCCTCCTTCGGGCTGTTTCTTCATAAAGTGCGTGGCGATTTTGAAGCCGTTTATGGGCGCAATGAGATTTACCGCCAGAACCGAGTATTTGGGCTCCTTCAGCCTTCCCCGATCGTCGCATTCGTCGACAAAGACATTTTCGATCTCGCCGACCCCGGCGTTTAGAAATGCGATGTCGATCCGACCGTACGTCTTTGCTGTCCACTCGAACAGGTCGTACTGCTCGTCCCACTTGGTGAGGTCTACCTTGCGAAAGGCGACGTTGGCCGTCTCTTCCGGAGGCGGGTTCAGGTCTGCAGAGACGATTTGCGCGCCGTGGGCCGAGAAGAATTTGACCGTGGCAAGGCCAATGCCACTGCTCCCGCCTGGAGAATTTCGCGGGTTAAATGCGCGTCAACGCGATTCCGTGAGGTGTAAAACAAACCTGTGATAATGACAATCTTCCCCTTCAGGCCGTCGAAAATCTTCTCGTCGAACTTGACCTCGGCCATCTTTTGGAAAACCCAGACTGTTGGGTCGAAAGGGAACACAAAAGGGGTGAAGGTTTATGGACTTTTGGTTATGGAGCGACGAGCAGTGAGAGCACGAGAATACTCTTCTTTTTTGATTGCCGGATCTTTGTTTATTTTTTCCCTGGAAGATATTATTGTCCCATGCATGAATGGCTCAAGTTTCCATTCCCCCTCTTCACCGTCCCCTCCGCCGGCATTTCCTCTTGTGGGTAGAACTGGAGTCGCTGCTGGCTGACAATTCCACCGACAGCCGACGGCTGACTGGGGTAAGTGGCGAGGGTCTTTCATGCAGAACTCAAAACGAAAGTAACCCTATCGGTTTGTCGAGCCGATCGAGCATAATAATTCGTCCGAGGAGGCAGTTCGGCAACCAGTGGGGCCCGTATCGATACACCGTGGTCGACTATAGCGCTATGTGTCTAGGCTCGGGAGAAACGAGCTCTGCATCGATCACTGCGCTATGGGGCGGAGTGGAAGGACTGACGAGGACTACTTGTATACTTTGACGGAACTCTGGGCGAGTTTTGACAGAGTGCGAAATCCACCCAAACCTTTCTGTCCATCACCTTCTGTTCCTTCTCGTTCGTTAAAAGAGGTCACATACCCAACGTTGAGAGTGATCAGCGCTTGATAGACTGTCAAAAATGGTCGACTTTGACGCTCTGCCTGATTTCGATGCCCTGCCATCCGTGGAGGGCATGCCTCCGGGGTGTGCGTGGGGAATTTTTGACCAGGACGGGAAGAAGGATTATCTCGGTTGCTTCAACCTACTGACGCCCAAAGTGAAGAGAGAGGCATTAAAAGAAGCCCGCGATGGCGTCTCAATCTCGTTGAATTGGCCGCTCAATGCCATCGCAGCCCCTGGGTTTGGCCGTCGACCGACCGAGCACACGATAGTGGATGCCATGGAAGGACCGTTCAAAACCCACGGATTCGATGATGAGCTGGCGTTCAATACTCAGTGCTCAAGCCAGTGGGATAGTTTGGTTCATTGGGGCCATCAGCCTACCGGACTGTTCTATAACGGATCGACTCCGAGCAAGGCGAACTTGAACCAGCCCACTGGCGCGGCGGACAAGAGTATACCCACGTTAAATCACTGGCATGAACATGGTTGTATGGTGGGCAGAGGAGTGTTGTTAGACTACAAGGCATACGCACAGTCAAAAGGCATCGCATACAACTGCTTTGATTCACACGCCATCACGGTAGCCGATCTGGAAGCCGTGGCGGCTTATCAAAACACTTCGTTCAAGTATGGGGACATCCTGATTGTCCGGACGGGCTTCACCGACGAGCTGCAAGCCGCTGGCAGCGCAGAGAAGCAAGCTGCTCTACTGGGGTCTCACAAGGCCGCGGGTGTTGCAGGCAACATAGAGACGGCGCGATGGATGTGGAATCATCACTTCTCTGCTGTGGCCGGCGATGCCATTGCCTTTGAAACTTTCCCACCAATGGTCGAGGAAGACGGTCGTGTTCGCCAGGGAAAGATGCCGGAAATGGGTTTGTCCTCTCCTTCTCTTCTCTCTTCTCTTCTTACCAGCCACATGTAGTCCAAATACCTCGACAAATTGCTGACACTAACCTTTCTGTCTCTCTCCACAGTGTTGCACAAGTACCTGATCACTTTCTTCGGCATGTATATCGGCGAGCTCTGGGATCTCAAAGCATTGGGAGAGTACTGCGCAAAGGTGAAGCGCTACGAGTTCCTTCTCTGCTCTGTGCCACTCAACATGCCTGGGCTGGTTGGATCGCCCCCGAATGCGGTTGCAATTTTCTGAAGCGGAATAAGATAGTCCGTCAACATTAGGGGAGGATTGGTTACATAACGTACCCAAGATCGAGCTGCTATACCAAAGTGTCATAGCCTTGTAGGGTCATGTACTCGGTATACTCGTGGGCATCATTGCCGTGAGAAGTGAGAATACCTGAGATGTGCAGCTTTAGCATCACACTCTTGGCTATACATACAAGCGAATACCTCCGCGCCGTGAACCATTTGACACCAGTGGGCCCAAGACTCTCGGTCTCGCTGTCGAGCATCTTTGCGGATCCGGACCTTCTTTTTGCCACTCGCTTCGAGACTCCAAGGGTAGTCTATGTATGTAATAAGATTCTCTTTGGGCTCCATAAGAAACAGCACAAGGAAATTCCGCATACGGTCACACCATATTCTCTGAGTGGTCGGCTCGGCTGGCTGTCTGGCCTGCTGCTATTCGCTCGGATGAATTCTGATGAATTTTGCTCTGCCGAAGCCTCACCCTGTTGTGTTTACCAGTCTTTCGGCTAGATTTGAAAGGCCAATCTCGGCCCCTCGCGTCCACTTGGCCACGTTTTGCTATGGACCTCGTGTACCTATTATCACATATACTTCGCTGCTGTTTCGGAGGCTCATGACCACCGGATCCTGGTTGACACCTCCACATCGGTTTCCACTCCCCGGACTCCCCAGGGGGTTCACCAGGGGGACGAAAGTATATAGATCAATGGAGACACAGGTTTATGGAACCGCACCTGTTCCCGTTGCTGCCTTGCTCTCTATATTACACAACATCATCACCCGTCGTTGCCTTTGCCGACGTCAATCCGGACGACATCGCCCGTGAGAGAGCTCACGATGGAAAATTACACGAGCTACAACGCTCGAGTTAGTTCTATCCTTTCTGATACCACTTGTTCCAGACTGCTGATGGCATGTTCGTCGATAGACTATCCTGTTCGCCGCAACCGGCTCGTTGTTCGCCGGTTTCGCCCTGGCTGTCATCACAACCACTCTAGGTCAACCAACCTTCTATGAGTCTCTGTCCTTGGAGGCCGACCCTACAGCTCCGGGTTATTCTCACACCAACACGATCATTGGGGCGGTCAATGGAGTATTCTTCGCCGGAGGCTTCTTTGGCACCTTGTTCTCCGGATGGACAGCCGACAGATTTGGTCGCCTGAATGGGTTTCGCATCGCCGGTGTAATGGGTGTGGTCGGAGCGGCCATTCAGACCGGATCAGTCAATGTTCCAATGGTATGCCAATTTACTTGTTGTTCTTCTTGAAAGTTTTGGTGACATTGTCCCATGGCTGTACCGAGATTTACTTCATGTCCCTAACATTACTGACCCATTGCAAAGTACCTTGTTGCTCGGGTCATCACAGGTCTCGCCGCTGGCAATACTCTTGCTGCGATGCCCACATACTACGCCGAAGTGTCGCCGCCGCACTCTCGCGGCATGATGACTGGTGCTCATGGAAGTTTTGTGAATGCTGGCTACTTTTTGGCCGGCTGGATAGGGTGAGGTTTCTCCGTGAAACAAAGACGAGAGGCCCGAAAACTAACCTGTCTTCTTCTCCAGGTTCGGCTGCTTCCATGCCCCAAGCACCACCTTTTCGTGGAGATTTCCAAATGCCGTTCTTTGTCTGCTTGGTCTTGTTCTCATCACCGGTACTTTCTTTAGTAGGTCTTCCGACGTGTTGTTGATGTGAGTACCTGTTCGACTGACTCTCTGGCACCACAGTTCCAGAAAGCCCTCGATGGCTTTTACAGCGCGGTCGACGCGACGAAGCCTTCAAGACACTTTGCAAGCTGCACCATGACCCCAACGACACGGAGGAACACTTTGCCCGTCGGGAACTGGCTCTCATCGAACGCCAGCAGGCTGTCGATGCTGCCGTCCTGGCTGAAGACGGCAAATGGCAGCTGTTCACTGCCAAAACGTACCGCAAGCGACTCATCCTGGGATTCCTTGTCATGGCTGGTGGGCAAAACAACGGAACATTGGTGATCAACAACTACACCGTGTTGCTCTACAGGTCCTTAGGCCTTAACGCGGAGATATCTCTGATGCTCAGCGCTATATACAACACACTTGCCGCGATTGCGAACTTCGTCGGCGCCTACTATAGTGACAAAATGGGACGGAGAAAGGCCCTGTGTGAGTGCTAACCACTTTGAAAACCCCCATCAGGAAATCCAACGTCCACGTAATTGACTGGCTAACGAACTGGTTCTTATCTAGTGGTGGGCTTTACCCTCAACATGTCAATGTTCATCATCGCCACCGGCCTCATTGGCAAATACAGCTATACTCCATCCCAAGGCCTCGCTGCAGCTGCAGTAGTGTTCTTATATCTCTATGTGATTGCGTGAGTTTCGATCTTCCATGGAGCCAGGGCTGTGACAGCTCGATCCCCATTTATTTTGCTCCTCCCTTCCGAGCCTGTAACTGACCAACTCTCTCCTCTCATTACAGATACGGCGGCTTGATCGACATCAATCAATTCACCGCCGTCACCGAGATCTTCCCGTCCCACCTCCGCAGCCAGGCGACGTCTTACGCCGTCTCTGCCATCTTCCTCATGGATGTCCTGTGGCTTGAGCTGTCGCCGACCGCCCAAGCGACCATCGGGTGGAAATACTATTTGGTCTTTGTGTGTCTGGGTATTGCCCACACGGTGCATATCTATTTCTTCCTACCAGATGTGAGGCTCACGACCCCCCTTCCTTGTATCCGTACGGCGCACGGTCGGTGCGCCATATATGCTAAAGAATATCTGGCTAACCTCCTCGGGCTGCAGGCGAACGGTTTGGCGTTGGAGGAAATCGACGCGCTTTTCGGGAAGGCGGTCGCTGCACACTTGACGGACAACAACTTGGAAGAGGAGAAATCCAGCCCCGGCACTCCGCCCGCCGATCTTCTCTCCAAGGAGGGCCAGACTACTACGCATGTCGCGACGGTCTGAAATTCTACTTGAAGGGACTGATCTTGTCGAGCTGGCTCCGCGGAGCGAGCAGGCCGCAAGCATAGGCGTGCGGAGCCAGACATCCGGGAGAATCGCATTAATCAAGATTTCGATACCCTGTCAGGGTTTTTAAATAGAATGACGGCGCACCCTTCTTCTGTATCGTCATCTCTGCCTCGCTACTCCGTATCCGGTGCTTGGCTCAATGATCCTGATTGTTTTTCGCTCTTAAGTACCTTGTGGTCTGGCTGTCTAGGGCGTGAATCCTTGGCAGGGATTGCCAAGCAATTTATTGACTGGGTTTGTCGAGTGACTCAAACAGGCTTAGAGTTTTTCTGGGAATATTCTGCCGCTATAAGTGAAGCTCCTCACAAAGAGCACACAGGGGTATTTAAATCCTCTCGTCCTGAAAATAATCATCCGTTTCTCTCCCTCATCGCTACTGCAGCCAAGATGATCTGTGACAATGTTCGAAGATCTGTTCTTGACAGAGCAAGAGCATCACACCATTCGAACATTGTCACAGATCCTGAAGTGGACGGAATCCCTCGTTGGAGGCAGGGCAGGGAAGTTCCTTACACTAAGTAGCACAGTGATGAGAAGGCAATGAGGAGGGATCTAATCTTGACTCAAAGGTAACTATCACTAGGCATAATGGCACCGCCATTGCTATCGATGATATTAGCTCTACATGATCTGACGGCCGCCTGGTCGGCATATGTGTTTGGAGGACCTCGTGTGAACTCTGGGCGAATTTGTTGAGGGTCAAATTGGACAGAATATCTGGCTTCTGTCGAAGTTGGGCCTGCGAACTCATCTTGCTGGGGGTTGCGTGTAAGAGGTCTTGTTTCCCTTCAGAACGTCCGTTGATGAGGCAAAAAGTTTCCGACACCGAGCTAATGACAGTTGAGGCGTCACCAGTGAAAGGGCTAGGCAACAGCGTAAGTCACCTCTGAACCTCCGCGAGTGACGGTCTGGCACAGGCTATTCAAGGATCTATATCTTGAGGAATGAATAGAATTCTCGTCTAGTATTGTCACTGATTCACTCTTGACATTGGGCCGCCGGGTGACATGGCAATAACATTGGTTGGTGAAGGCCAGACCACTGGATCAGTCAGAGAGTCAATCGATGTCCCCTACTGTATCCTCCTCGAACCTAGGGCGTGTCTGGAGAGACCTGGATCAAGATTCGGATGTTCTAGAACACGTTGGACACCCTTTTCGTGAGAAATTCGTCCTCGATGGGGAGGATTCAAAACTTTGATAACGCTATACGTGAGGCCCGACGACGGGAGGCCTAGGCGAGGACATGCTTGAACGAGACAAACAGCTAGTGCGAGACGCCGTCGGCGATGACGAAGAATAAGCAAGAGGCACGGGAGAATGTGATGCCAAGAAAAACATTCACGATGAGCCGGCCCGGTTGTCAAAAATAAGCCGCATAAGTCTGACGAGAAATTATCAATGGGGAGCGACTCACTATTGACATGAAGGTAACCATCATAGCACCTCGATCCCCATCGATAATATCAGGTCTATCTGGTCCAACGGCTGCCTGATCACTATTGAGTAACTACTTAAAAACCCTCAGAGGGCGACTAATCGCTGTCTATCGGACTGTGCCATTTGATTCTTCCAGAGGTTCGCCTGGCTGGTTGTCGAAGATATCCAAGTGGGTGCGCACCGTCTGACGAGGAATAACAACGAGAGTGGCTCATTGTTGACGCAAACGTGACCTCGTTAGGCATAACGGCTTCTCTATCCTTGATAGTAATATTGGCTATAGCATTTGATCTGGCGGCCGCCTCGTCGCTATTAAGTGACTAGCTCAATTCTGAGAGGGCGTTCTACCCTCTGTCAGACTGCGCCTTTTTTTTGGCCTGCTAGAGGCTCGACGAACACGAAGGTAACTGACTGACTGACTGATTGATCGATTTGGGCTGACTCGACTTTGTTCTTACTCTCCGTTAGTGTAGATGTTCATGATACTTGGCTACTACGAAGTTCTTGTCCGGTTCGATATCTCCATTGACTTGGAACAACCTCTCTTCGCGGCAGCAGCTGCACCACCACCACCGCCGCCTATTCAACCCCCTCCAGGAGACACACGAGTTCTACATGTCTAGTTTAGTTTCGTGGTGAGATTGAACGAACAATAGCCATGGCAGCCAAGGTTATATTCCTAATGGCAGACGACGGCCATGACCCTACAGGTATGGGGCAACCAGCTGGCTGAGGTCTCCACGGCTAAATCGCAGATTTGACCACTTGCTCACATCTCACTGATCCATTGTAGAAGCCGCGATTCCCTGGAAAATCTTCAAGGACGCCGGATTCGATGTCTCCTTCGCTACCGAGTCCGGCAACCCGCCCAAATGCGACGACAAGATGCTCAAGGGCTGGACTGGCGCCGTGCTCGGGGCTTCCAAGGCCGCGAAGCGCGCGTACCGCGACCTCTCTAACACATGCGAAGCGTTCCAGCGGCCGCTGGCCTGGACGGACCCGTCGTTCACCCTGGATGGGTACGACCTCGTCTTCCTCCCCGGTGGCCACGAGAAGCGGGTGCGCCAGATCCTGGACTCGGCGAGGGTCCACGACCTCCTGGCGAGGTATTTTCCGCAGACGCGGAAACCGTCCCGCAAGGCGCTGGCGGCCATCTGTCACGGCGTGCAGGTGCTGGCCCTGTCGACGGGGCACGACGGGAGAAGCGTGATCCACGACACCGTCACCACGGCCTTGCCCGCGTACATGGAGCAGGGCATCTATCACGCCACCAGGGTCTTTCTGGGCGATTACTACAAAACCTACGGGGCGGGAACGGAGTCGGTCGAGGAAATCGTCAAGAAGAGGTTGGGAGACAGGGCGCAATTCAAGAACAGCTGGAGCTTGGGTCCGTAAGTGAATGTTCAAGGTTAACAGATTCTTCCGCTGTGGTTTACTGACCAGGACAAAGTTTTGCTGTCGAGGATCCAATATATAATTACTTGTCGGCGAGGTATCCACCTGATGCAGAAGCTCTTGCGAAGAGGGCAGTCATCCTCGTCAAAGGGATTAATCACTTGGCTTAACTTGTCGACAACCAGAACTTCAAGTATTAGCCTCATCCTGCGTCGCATTCCCGACGATCCCCTCCTATTGACATCTCGGCTTCGTACTTGGCTCTCTGCTCGTCTCTCCTTTCCCTCACGGTGTTGATGTTGACCTTGCCGACGTCGATAAATCTCCACAAATCACTTGCATTGACGCGCCCTTGTCCTCCAAACAAACCAAAGTCAACAGGATGCTTGGAGGAGTGGCGTAGCGCAAAGACCACGCTGTTCCTACCGTTGGGATTCTCCACGACGCGGTGTATACCAGGGCTCAGCATTCCATCCGACAACGCCTTGAGTGTCTGCCCGACCAGGATCGTCACCGTACGTGGGTTTGTCCCGCTGTCAATCCAGATAGGGTTCTCGTCCGTGGAGTTGAGCCGATCCAAGACTTCAAGACCACCACCGTCACCTATGCAGATGGTCAACAACCCTAAGTCGGTGTGCTGTTCAGCGAATCCAGTGCCTGGCAAGTAACGAAACAGACGCAGTAGCGTATATGGCATTTGTTTCTCAGACTCTGCCATGGTCTGGGTGCCATCGAGGATGTCGTTCCATATCGACACGTCTAGATCAGACCAGCTGGTGATATCGCACAGAATGCGCCATAGCAGAAGTGCACCTTCTCGCCACGCTCTAGCGGCATTGTCTTCAAGCGTCTGTACCATGGATAATTGCGACCGTGGCAATCTAGACTCGTAACCCGAGTGCACACGACACCGGAACGTGATATATTCTTTCTCATTAGGGACAGTGTAATAGCCAAACTCGGTCCCGGACTTGGAGGGATACAGCGCCGTCTTTTCCCGGTCCGGCAGCTGAAAGAACCGTGTAGAGCTGGTGAATAGGTCTGCAGTCGTGGCCGCCAGCGTCTCCGATAGTGGGAGAGATAGCCAGCCTTGTTGCGCGAGGTGAAGCAATTGGCCATCCGACAATAGCGGTGGGGGCCCTGGGGGCGGAGGACATGGGGAATCGTCTCCCTGTTCGCCCATGGCCTTTGCAGGTCAGGGAGAAACAGGAAAGATCTATATCTCCTCCTTGTTTCTCGCTACGGTGTGGATTTGATCTGAATGGGTGCCGGTGGTGACTTTGCGATGAGAGGAACTTCTAACGAGGATCGCGGAATCAGGTGCTCGCTGATGAGTTGATTGGTTGCTGATGATGAAGGCATGACGCGGACCTGCGATGGATCCCGAGATTGCAGACAACCCTCTTTGCTGGGCGTCTCCGGACCGGAGAAAAAAGAGTAAAGAACGTGTACATGTGCTGTACTGGTCTCTTGTCTAGGTATTCTTCCCCCACAAAGGGAGCGTTAGAAGCCCGTTTTCCCTCCAGGAACGATCAAGTTCGCTTCAAGGTGGTTCAAACGCCAAGCAGATTTAAAACGGGCGAAGCTTTTATCGAGTGGCTATCAATAGTCAACCATGCAGTCGATCTAGTAATTGATCCGCGTATCCCTTTGAGGGTTCCTCATGGGTCTGTGGTGGTCAAAAATGTCCATTGAAACACGTATTGTCGAACAGGTCGTGGGCCAAGAGTCGTTCACAGCTCAGCATACGAGGAGATATTCAAACACTAGGTCGTAGGATCGTGTCATTGTGTGACCCGTTTGCATTATTAAAACACAGCAAAGTTGTCCAAATACCTCTATCATTCTACCTTTGCCCCTGCCAGCCACAAGTAAAATGGTCCCCCTTCCCACGACAAGATGTACCCTCAGATTCATAAAACATTGCCATCACCCGCTTAGTTTTTGTTCGCCATCCATAAGCTACATCCTGCATCGCCTAGAACTCTTTTCCATCACCGTAACCCACGGAGCTTTGGCCCCCATCTTTCAGTGTTCCTGCAATGGCCCTCTGGCTCCCCACTTCACGCAGAAGCCGCTCTTCCTATTGAGCACTTAGTCGAATTTCTTCCGGCCAAGGTTCAAGCCAACACCGTGGTTGAACACGAGAGTGCCGCCGATCTTTGCCGAGGCGATCAAGGCTGGCAGTAACACCACGCTGATGAGAAGGTTGGTCTGGGTAGGTGTCTTGCCCAAGTTGATGGCCCCCTCCTTGTCCTTTCTCAAGTACCAGCTGTAGAGGTTGACCACAAACACCAAATCGTTCATGACGGCGTGTGTGATTGTTGCCTTGATCCGTGGCACCATTGTGCTCTTCTGCTTTCCCTGCGCATCTTTTTCCCATGGCCCGCCGTTCTTCTTGATCATGCCGACCAGCTGGATGTTGCCAGACATGATTGCAGGCACAGTGGTGATCAGGCCCGCGCACAAGAGGAAGTAGGATACGCGAGTGATGTCCAAAAGGGTCGCGGGGGACCCGAAGCGTGTGGTGAGGAAGGCCGGCTTGACATAGATGGTAGTCAGAGCATACAAAATGTCAAGGCCCCAGGAGAGGACGTTGAAGGCGATGGGAAAGTGGACGAGGCCTGGGTGGGCGGGGAATCTGTGAACAAAGCGGTCAGTGCTGAAGACATGCCAATGGCGGAGGTGGTCCAAGCCAGCGGCAGCTGTCGACCACCTCTACACCCCAAAGTTGAAGAGAATGGCAGATTAAAGTACATACTCAGTGTTGAATTCAGGAACAGGCTCGCCGACCTTGTGGGCGAATTTGCCCTGGAGCTGAGTATAGTAGCTCATCTTGTCGCTGGCACTCGCGGTGAGAGAAAGATAGAGGTCACAGGTTCCTGGTATATTCCGGGGAGAAGAACGGCCGCAGAACCACAGAAAAGTAGCAGATTAAAAGGGCAAAGAACAAAAACGAGTGTCTTTAGAAGAAGAGTATGAGCATCGGACAAAAATAGGGAGTGGGAGTGGGCGTCAGAAAATACAAGAGACCGTATTGGGCAAAGGAGCAACACAAGCACGCGCAGGACATTGCGGGCAGGGTTCCAACCTTCAACTCTACTGCGCTAATGGCGGAGTCCGGTTAAGGCGCCCTTGCCCAACGGGCGCCCAATGGATCGATCTCTAGGCACCGAGGCCCCCTAATAGTTCCAGTCATTTAAGGCCAAGGCAGCAAGCCAGGGCAGCCCTCGAGCCCCTGAAGCAGCCGCCACCAATAGGAGGTCGCCAAGAGGTAAGCAATGAACACCTGGCATCATCACTGGCAGCACATGGGGGCCGATCCTGAACTGGGTTCACAACATGTATTATTACCACTCGATTCTCCGTACTGTGAAGCAAGAGCCAGGCGAGGTTGGCAGCGCCGACATACTCGTACTCGTTCTCATTCTGAGCAAATGCTACTCACCGCCCCAGAAGACGAGGAAAGGGAACAAACAATTGACGAGATCAAGAAGAGGACTGCATTGACAGAGGATACAGCGAGGCAACAGAGAGAGAATTCGAAGGCAGCTGATGCGAGATGGTGACAATTCATGGATGCCCACCATGCGCCACAGTCAATGTCCAGCCTAACTCACAGCTTCGCCCTCCTCAGAGCCTCAATTACCTCCTTTGCTCCTCGTTCGCCAGACCGCAGCGCACCATCCATATATCCTTTCCATTCATAAGCAGTCTCGGTGCCCACGAAATGCACTTTTCCATGAGTCGTCCTCAGCGCGTGGTTGTACTTGGTCATGATTCCCGGTGGTGCAGCAGGACACGGACAGCCTTGCGCCCATTGATCACTTGCCCATTCATGTTCTGTCACGGCCAGCGGCTCCGGCACGTCAACATACGGGCCGAAGACGCGCTTGATGTGAGCCAGTATGGCGCTGAATCTATCTTGCTGCGAGAGGAGGGATCCCTTGCGGCCGAAATCGCCATTGGTAAAGCAAGTCAGCGAGAACTGTCCCTTTTCATCGGTACTGGAGTCCCGGCACGTGGTGATAGGCCCTATGAAGGACATGATGGCACCGGACAAGCCTTTCTTGCGCCACCAAGGCTCCGAGTACATGACCAAGACCTTCAATGTATACCCGTGTACATTGTGCTTCCCGAGTTCGACCTTGGCCGCGGGCAAAGGTGGGTCAAAGGCGATCTCCTTGTAAAGAACTGTCGGCACAGAGACAATGACCCGTTGACACTTGAAGTCTCCCCTACCTGCCGACACATAGATTCCGTCAGGGCTTTGTGATATGTGCCGGACAGGTGAGTTTAGGATGATTGAACCTGGCTTCATCAGACCCGCCAGACCGAGTGACAATGATTGGGTCCCTATTGGCCTGAGTGTAAGTGCATTCCTCAGTCGATTGCTCACATCTGCATAGCTTACCTCTGTGAAACCTGAGATACTGCCCGCCATCCTTAAAATCGGATCTCATCTGGAGCAGTCCGCCGCCGCTCTTGCAGTAATCCAAGAAATACAGTGCACTGATCTCAGACGGCTCTAGGCCGAGCATTGCTCGAGTCCACAACTTGACACTGGCAAGCGCCGTCTCCGATTGAGTCTCCGACTTGCACCATTCTTCCAAGGTCATGGAGTCAAAGCGTCCGCTTGAGCCGACAGGGTCCCGAATATCGACCTGTTGGCACAGTTTCTCAAAGAGTTCGCGGATGTAAACCATGTTTTCGATCCCGTTCAATTCGGGCGCGTTGGTAGGTGTTCCGCCATAGGGAAACAATCCTGTACCACCGCTGAGATCCTCCTGGATGATGTGGCCCACGGTGTTTTGAACCACAAGTCCCAGACCGAGGGACTTTGCCAGAGCATACGCCTTTGCTTGATTCGTGTCGTTGATCCAAGCGGCCCCGACGTCGATGAATTTTTCCTGGCCCAACGGGTCAACGGACCAAGTCTTGCCACCCACGCGATCGCGGGCCTCAACAACAGCGCACGACACTCCGGCCTTTTGCAGATCATAGGCTGCCTGCAGACCGCTGAGACCAGCTCCCACTACCACCACCTCCACGCTCGTCAATCGTTCCTGTCGGACAGCAGCATACGCCTCGATCTCGAACTTGAACTCGGGGTCCGCCAGGGCGGGGACGGGCACCAGCGTCGTAGCAGGCCGATGGCCATTCAGGAACGCCTTGAGGTGCTTAGTATGCCGACGGTGCGCGGGGTCGTAGTCGACGATGTAGTACACCAACTTGAACACGTCGGTCACTTTGGCACCAGCAGCCTCGAGACAGCGGCCCAGATTCTTCATGGCTAGGGCTATCTGCTCGTCAATATCCTGGGGCACGACGCGGTTGTGGTCGGCGCCGACTTGCCCGGCCGTGGCGACGATACGGCATGGTCCGCTGGACGTGGCGACGTGGGAGAATATCGGACGAGAGTCGAAAGTCTTGTGAGGGTCGAGTGTTTGCACGCTCGGCGACGTCTTTGGATCAGGCGACATTGTTCTTGGTTGAAGGAATTTTTTTTCCCTTCACGCCGTTATCGACTCGTCCTTGGCCTGTTGATTCAAGATATCGCAGCTCTCCACTTACGACGGACTCTGGAATATATGTATTGTCGATCCTCGGATTTCGACGACCGCGGAGAGAGTCAGTCTTGCTTGCTTGCTTGATTCCTTCCTGGCTCACCCACCAAGGTCAGCCCACTACACATACATATAGGTATGTATTAAGTGTCGAGAATCAAATCAAAAGCTGAGCACCACGCCCTGCCAACACCGCAGACCTGCGCCTCGTACCCACCATACGAGGTACGGTGTACGGCCGCGTGCGGAGATGTGCATCTCCTTCGTAGTTCTGACATACCTCTCAACTACTCTCCGGTGGAAAATACGAGCGACTTTCTTACCCAACGGTGGTCGGGGCCCTGATCGGGCAAGAGAGTTTGGCATCGTTGATTGGGAGAGAGGGAGAGGGGGATTTTTCCCCGACCTTCCTGATTTGGTTGTATCATGGGGAAGTTGAAGCGCGGTGATGAATGGCGATGCTGTGGAGATCCACCAGACCTACCCTGCAAGCTACCTAGGTAACTAGGTGATAATTATGCATGAGAATGCTTGCCGTTTCTGGACGTTGTGTAAGAAGTGAGGAAGGAGGGCTATCTGTGTCATAGAGTATGTATGTATGTTTGTATGGGGTATGATGTGATGCGATATGATCTGATTTGATGTGACAAGAGTATAGATTCAGCGTTCGCGTTTATTATCATCATCATGTTCTGTTCTATTCGCCCTCCTCTACTTTCCTGGTGCCGGTGGTAAACGCAAGGAGGGGATCTCCAATGCTAAAGCCACACCAGTACACTAACAATGATAAACCGCAGAAGACTCTATAGATATATAGATGTATGGATGGATATATCGACATACCCTTTTCGTTTTCGCCACAGGAAAGGGGTTCAGGACCAGCAACGCAATGCAACGCAGTGCAAGGCAATACACCGCCCGTCCCAGAAGAGTCATCTCTGGTGATTAAGAGGGAGGATCACGAATTACAAACCTGATCAACCACCTCAGCGACCGCGATGAGTTCCTCGTCCCCAAACTGCGGTCTGACCAGCTGCACCGTGACGGGCAGATTCGCCCACCTCTCGGGATCGTAGACCTCCCAATTCATGCGGTCAAAGACGTTGTCGCGGGGCGTGTACCCGACATCTTTGCGGTCCTTGTCGCGGTCGACCCGCATCTTCTTCAGCGGCAGCACGATGCTCGGGTAGTCGAGCAGGTTCCACAGGCTGAAGTATCCCCACCAGACGGGGAAGCCGTGGGGGAAGCTCGCCGACGGGGCGCACGGGCAGAGCAGGCAGTCGATCGGGCGGCCGGAGCGGGTGCGCGACGCGGTGGCGTGCCACGCCGCGGCGAATTGGTATTTCCATTCTGCTTGTTTGGTGTTGAGCTGGAAAAAAAAGGTCAATCCCAACCCATGGGTGGGGAAAGGAGTTAGTGATGTGCTTCGTTTCTCCTCAATTCAACTCAAACCAACTCAACTCAACTCGGCTCAAATGGGGCAGGATAGGGTTGGGGTTGGGGTTAGGGCTGGGGGGTTGTGTGGAGGGTGATAAAATGGGAGCGAGCATGTGTGAGCACACGAGCTAGGGACGTCTTGGGTATTACCTTGAACAGTTCCGGCACGGTCAACGGCTGGATGTTAAACGTCTCGAGATACCACTTGAAGGTCGGATAGAGCGGTTCGCCCGACGACGCGACCAGGTCCAACGTCTCTTTCGCCCCCGTCTGGAACCACAGCCGCCACTATTCGTTTCCCGGATAGTTAGTTAAACAAGTCCGTTGCTGGGGAATAGTGTGAGGCTCCCAGGAGCAAGGGACTGAAACGAGATACGGGGCGAGAAATACGAACCGTGGCCTGTGCGACTTCCCAACAGTCAAACGGTGGTTGGAATTCGATCACTATGTACACCCCCCCTTTTGCGTCAGAACGAGCATGATTCGCTTTTTCTGTTTTCGTGACCAGAAGGGCGCGTGGCGCAGACTGGTGGTGCTGGGTATGGATCAATAATGAATCAATAATGCATACCTTCGTGACCGGCCGCGCGCAGGTTTGCCGCGGTCTCCTCTAGCGCCCTCGCAATCGGCGGCTGCGGAGTCACACATCCATCCGTGGCCAGCAACCCGATACAGAGCTTCTCCGTCTTCGCGGGGAGCTGTTGCCAGGGCATGCGCACGGCGGTAGGTTCAAAGGGCAGGCCGTGGTGGGTGAGGAGGATCTCGGCCACGAGTTTGACGTCGGCCATGCTGTAGCAATTGGGGCCCGAGGAGACCTTGATAGAGATCTGACCAGGAGCGGGTGTGCCCATGCCCCTCTTGGCCGTTCTGTCGGCCGTCGGTCGCATGGCGTACAATCCGTTGAAGGTGCCCGGGGCGCGGATGCTGCCGCCAATATCGGTCGATGGGCAGAACGGCGCGCCTCGCATGGCCACGAGACTTCCATCACCCCCAGAAGAGCCGCCCGCAGAGAAGTGCCTGTTGAAAGGGTTCATGGTACGGCCCCAGAGGTTGCTCCAGGTTTCGAGGAACATGCCTGTCTGCGGCATGGTGGTGCGCACGAAGAAGACAGCTGTGGCCCAGACACACGCGCGGCGGAGGCGATTAGTATGTCAAGGCAAGTAGGGTTTGTAGAGACAGAAAAAAAAAGGCGCTCGGAACTGCTCACCTCCCGCATTTCTCAGCATCTGTATGATTGACGCATCGTACGTGCACCGGTTGTTATGCCATGCCAGGTAGCCCATGGTCAGGTTCTTGTCCTTCATGTGGAAGATGTCCTTGATACCCACGGGTAACCCGTGCAAGGGCCCAACCGGGACGCCCGTCTTTGCGAGGATGTCGTCGAGTTCTTTTGCTCGTGCAAGAGCCTCATCGGGGAAGAATGCTGTCAGGCAGTTCACCTGAAAAGAAGCCGTCAACAACAACGGCTCTCAATCCCCACCTCGACATCAGGTAGACCGGATCCGTGGCCGACAGACTATGAAAGGAGGCTTCAGAGGCACTCACACACTGATGTGCAATTGCGGCCCTTGCGCAAAAGGCCTCGGTCACTTCGACAGAGGACAGCTTGCCGTCTCTCAGCTGGGGAACGAGCTCACTGGCCGTCTGCTCGGTGATCAAGAGTTGTTTCTCCGTAAGCAGTCCGCAGGCCCTCGGAATGCCACGCACGTCCATCACAGACGGGTCGACCGGCTCGGGCAGACGCCATTTGGGAGGTATTGAGTTTAAAAGGCCTGCTTGGGCCTTTGAGGCAATATCCTGCCAGTTTTCAGCCATTTTCGGGACTCAAAAGAGAGGGTAAAGGATAGAGTCTAAGCTTTTGGTAAGAACTCGAGTTCAGGCTCTCTGAGGAGAATCGTCAAGATATTGTAACCTCGTAGGCTGGCCCACCCCTGTTAAGGGCCTGCCTGTGCAAACGAGTAGCAAGATAACAACTAATCTGCAGGACTTGGATGCGATGCGGGGGGAGGATTTCCTCTAATCAGCCACCGGATGTGGACGATCGTGGATGTCCGTCTTCGCACGCGTGAACGCAGGAGTGATCTTCATGCGCGAATGGGCTTTCCAAAGTGTAGGTCATCTCCTCAAAACGCGGCAAGTCCCAAGATCATAAGGGGCAGATGAGGGAAAGGCATTGGGGACGATAAACAAGGAGTCGTTGTTGGGAGCATTTGCCTCGTATCCGGATCAATATTTGTCCGTCATGGCTTAAGATGCCACAGTCAAAGCCTCTGATTTTGATGTATTGATTGCCAATAAACAGCTTCTGTTGAATACGTTTGTCTAACCCAAGCTCGCATTGGTTCTAGATATAGACACCAGAATCAGAGTCCTTGGCCACTTGGTGGCGTTGTAGCGAGCCAAGGGTGCAGCACACGGCTGGAACTGCGTCGCTGTCCAAAGCAGACTGAGCCAGCATGAGCATCGTGGAGACGTTTCCGTTCCCAAGGCTTTCACATCTCTTGATGGCGAAATGACGATACTCTCGCGAGCGGTGGTGGAGCTAGAGTGATCAATTGAGGGGAACTGAGAACATGCCGCCAGTAGGCGACGAGGATCATAATCAGAGTCATCGCATCGTTCTCTGTCAGCCCATGAGCCATAAGAGGGAGCAAATCTTGAACATATCTTACAGCGAAGATGAGCTCTGCTGTCGGATTAGGCGACGCAGGCCTTGGAATAGTTCAACAAGGTTTTTTTTCCTTTTAGACAGGCTAGGAGCTGGTATCCCCGTTATAACAAGTCAATATCCTGCTCTCAAGCGCTCTGTATGGTCCTTCGTGATCAGAATATGTTCGCCTACAAGTGCATATCATCAAAGACTTCTGGATAATGTTCATGTTTCACATCAAACTTGCTCTCCAGGCTATAATCACAAAATATTTCTGACCGACCTGCTTCGTAACAACGATCGCAGTCTTTGGTGACCTGGCGGCGAAAGTTTTTCAATCTCACCGAGGGGTGATGTTCTCGGTAAGTTGACATTCTCCCAGTCCGTCTGCGTTCTTAATGCATCCCAAGCCTGGCGGTCGTAATCGCTAGGAGTGATTGTCGTATCGGTATTAGTCGAACTGCCGGAAGAGCTTCGTTCTAGACTGGGCACTGAATCTGAGGATTCTTCCTCCAAAGTCGGCTCGGACAACGAGCCATAAGAGCTGAACCGTAAGTGGCTCGCGGTCTTCCGAGGTGAGCTCATGCCGCCTACTCCCGGAGGAGACGGCACTGTGACGTTAGGGTCAAGCTCACGACGAAGTGATAACCTAGATTCCACACTGAGGATACTGCGCAGACTGTTGCGGCGTGAGACTCGCTCTTCTTCGTCAGGTGAAGGTAACAGAGCTGATCCACGAGATATCTTTGAGTCTACCGCATGGTCTTGGGGGCTGGAGCCCGAGTTATCGCCCCAAAGAGCCGGTTTCGTGGTGGGCCTGAGTGGTGCCGCGCGCACCGGTTTGTTGGCCTCTTTAGCAGCAGGCGGAGACGTTCCTCCAAACGTGTGATCAATGTATTGACTGAACCCGTTTACCTCACTGTCATCCCGAGGACGTTGCTCGCTTTGTAACTTCGACGCTCTTTGACTCGCAGCGAGTCGGTCGATGATTTTTTGTCGTTCTATTTCCTTTCGCTCAGCCAATGTGTCGATATCATAGTTCCTAGGAGCAGTCTGGCGCAGCTCTGGAACTCGAGCTGGCAGAGATGGCAGAGGTTGAAGTCTTGCAGGATTCGGTAACGCAGATCCGTCTACAGCATGGCTGTTAGAATCGGATGGTGACAAGGCGTTGAGAGCAGCGCGTTTCTTCATTCTCTTCATTTTCTTTGCGTCATCCGCATCAGATTCGGGTTTCGAGCCTTCACCTCGGTTGCGTAGTACCTTCGCCAGGACATCGTCGAATTCACGAGATGATTGAACATCACCACCAGTCTTCGTGTTGTAGGACATGTGTCCTGATTTGATGACCTGTTCGGCGACTTCATCAAGCTGAGCACGTGGACTCTGCGTCCCATTTCCGACAGCAACCCCGATGGCGGGTTCTGGTACGGCCTGCACAGGCCCGGGCACAAGCTGGCGGAAGGAAACTTGCGTAGCGCCAATTTCCTCGCCTGCCATTTTCATAGCGAACCTTACTCTCGCTGCCAGCATATGAATTTCCAGCGATATGATGACTTTCCATGCGGGCGCGGCTTTCGTTCCTTTTCCAGCCAGCGATCGATGTCGGGCGGCAATGATGAGTCTAGAAGTGACACGACAAGCTATGTCGGCACATTCCTTGACGGCAGGCGTGAAGTGCGAAGGGGCGTCTTTCTCATCGCTCTGAACAATTGTAAAATCGACCTCCATGAAGCCTCCAACCGGAGGACTATGCGGAACGATCTGGGTGAAATTGTGAGATTGTGGAGGCATCGAAGACTGGATTTCCTGTCCCTTGCGCACCAGCCATTCGATCTGTTTTGCTTTTGCACATCGTTCGTCCTCGCAGTAGAACATGTCTTCCTGCCTGTGTAGGGCTGGGTCAAAGCGCACATTGTAGGGTATGCCGTAGTTCCAACGAGAGAGCCGTGTGTTGATGGTCTGTATATTTCCGAGGGACATAAACAGGCAGCGGACGGCACCCTCGACCACCGATGTCCAGCTGGACCTTCCACGCCAGACCTTGACTCCCTCGCTGCGAGGATAGCTCTGCTCGATGCGCGACTGGACAAAACGACTGCTTCCGAGCCCACCAACAAGCAGGATCCCTTTGAGATGTTCTTTCAACCCTTTCTCCTCCAAGGCCATGTCCTGCTCATCGATGAGGCTCAGGATCTCAGGGAGGACGCTTTCAAACGAGATGCGGACAAGTTCTGGCTCGATAAGAACAGTGCCTTCTTTGGCATGCTCAAGCTTGAGGTGGGCAACACCACCTAGATGCACCGCCTTGGGACCGGTTGAGGTTCCCCCCTCATAGGACGGCTTGATGATGAAAGTAAAACGGTCGATGATCTCACTCTTCGCAGCTGCAGGCAATCGGTCCCAGTCGTCTCGCAACACTCCTTTGACCTGGTTCGTGAAGGCTTGGTCGATGTACACGGAACCGCAGAGACCTCCGTCTGCAACGGCGACCTGGTTCAACTCCATCGGATGCACTCTGGCGACCTGGTAGCTCACAACATCGACTGTGCCACCTCCGGCGTCGCAAACTATCACGCAGTCTCCTGCCCTCACCTGGCCCGTGCTCAGGCGCTGTTGAAGCTCGGAAATAGCAGCCGCTTCCGGTTCTGTGATGAACTTAATTTCACGGCCGTTATCTGCTAGACCAGCAAGTTCGGCAGCATGCAGGGTATTCTCTTTGGCAGCATCAGACCATATGGCAGGGACAGTCATCACAATTGTGACATCGCTGTTCTTGACCAGGTCAGGATCGTTCTGCTCGTCGCAGATGCAATCGACAATTCTCGCCCACAACCACTTCAGATAATCGCCAACCACCGTTGTAGGGGATTTTCCCAGCTCTTGGATGGCTCGACGGGTCGCCTGTACCTCCTCGGAGTCGAGGAGATATGACTTGCGTGAATCAGGGTCTGTCTCGAGGAGAAGCTTCACCCATCGTAACCTCGTAGCATCTTCAGGGCATTCAAAACCACAGTGAACTTGACCATTTGGGCCGTATGCGATGTCCGAGGGGACCTTCTGCGTGTAGCGGTGGTGGTGGTGAGCACTCGGCCAGTCAGAAATGGTGTCAATGCGCGGGTCGATTGGTCGTTGGAGGAAAAGAGTATAGGCGGCGCCAGAGAAACTGCCACTGTCAGAGGTGCTCTTCCTTCAATTGTGTGTTTGTACCAACCTGGTGCCATAGTCAATGCCAATGATGAGTTTCACCTGCGCCGGATTTGCTCGATTTTCTGGGCTGAAACCGCGACTCATGAGAGACGTGAGCCCTGGGTCCATCTTGACCCTCGCTGCGCCCTTTGAAGTTGTGATCAGGCTGAGGTATAGCAGCTATCCAGGGACCTCGCGGGCAACGCAACCAACGCAATTGCGCTACCAGATCATCATCGCTGCATCAGAAGGAAGACGAACAAGTTGAGGAAGTTTGGCTTTCCATGGGCTTGGAAATAATTGCAAAGAACCATCCCAAGCCTTCGCCGATAGACGATAGGACCCAAGCGGCAGCCATGCACACAAAGTCCTTGGGGACTTTGCACTGCCTGGTGTGGCTGCATCATCGGGCTGGTCAAACTTGCAGTAGTGGTGAGGCTATCACCTCGAGCCGCCATGCGAGAGATCTAGGCTCCCGGCGACTTAGGCTGCGGTAACACGAGGCGCAGGGCACAGCTCCCCTTGGCCTCTCTGGCTTCATCTTGAGATTTGTCTCTCATTTGGACATTCCTGCAAAAGACGACGAAAAGCAGCTCCTGTAGCAAGAACATGACAGAGGTAGAGATATGTCCCGTTCTCAAGGATCGATCATGTCGCGGATCCCACACCGGACTAAGCTCATTTTGATTTCCGGGGACAAACACCAGGCCCATAGCGCCACTGCCGAAACCTCGTCCGCCTTCACCGAAGAATTCCCTCTTGACAATGACACGCATGAGAGATCACAACTGGAAGAACATGTTCGAGAGTTGACGGGTTTTGTCGCAAGCCCTGGGCGACCAGCACGGACTCAACCATCACACGAGGTCAGCGCAACTCGCGCACCGTGTCCAGACGATCGTTCGAAAGGGGCTCTTTCACATCAGCACGACGTCGAGTGGTTGCAAAATCGAGTCAAATCTTTGGAGGCGAGCGTGCAGCAGTACCAGGAAGAAGATGAACAATTCCGATACCTCTACGATGGGATGGTCAAAGAAAATGTTGCGCTCGAGGAACGTTGTGCTGCCTTGGCTTCGGAGCGTGACTTCTTCGCGGCCAAATACAGTGAGCTTCTGTCGGAGCGCTTCAACGCACAACTCCCTGGCCTCTGGGTGACTCAGGCGAAGTTGAAGAGTGCATTCACAGACCTCTGCCACCATGTCTCTGCCTGGTGCGACGATGCAGCTTACCAAGCGGTAAAGATGCAAGTTGGTAACAACCAAGGAGAAAACCTAGCCGAGCTGCTTGCCCTCTCTCGGGCTTTCAGCGTCCCATTGTCGCGGAAAGGGCTTGCTGCAGTGCTGATGAGCAGGATACACCACGAGATCATGCTCAGAGTGTTCCCAATTCCTGACGATTCAGGAGGGAAAGACCCCAACGATCTTTGGGCCAGCCAACAGGATGCCGAATGGCTTCGTGTAGTCTTGAGAGACCTGGTTGCACAAGGTAAGCTGGACTTCTGCCGAAGTCTTCTACTGTCAGGACTGTAAATAACCCGTGAATAGGAATCCCCCCTGACGAGGTGCGCCGCTGGAAGTGCTTGACCACCACTGCTATTGCTCCGCACAGCTTCGAAACCAGTAAAAGATCAAGACATTTCGCCAGGTCACTATGGAGGCATGTCATATCCATGGTGAAAGGTGACACAAGCGCTCTGGAGTCACAGCTGTTTACGAGGCTGGAAGTTGAAATTGTCGTCAAGGCCGTCGAGATATCGAGGTTGATGCGCAAGTGCCAAAGCTCTGTCCAAGTCCGGTGGCCAGTCAAGCTCAAGAGCACGTCATGTCGAGCAATTGAGGATGGAACACTAGTTTGTGAAGTGCTCACATCCCCAGAGTTGGTGACAGTCTCGGCTGGAGGCTCGACAGCAGGCGCAGAGGAGAACGTTCTCGTACCGCACAGCATGTTTAGGATCGAAGGGATTACTGCGAATGACAGTAATGGAGCTGGAAAGACTTTGAAAAATTGACTCAAATATATAAAGGCTGCTAAACTAGGAAATTTACCTTGACATCTCGCATCCATTCATTCATCCTAACTCTTGTCCTCAATCTCAGCAGATGACATGCCTACGCTTATGCCAAGGCTGTTATCAAGTTGAATGCAAAGGAGCTCAAGCCGATGAGGAGACTAAGGATTGTCGTCACCGTGGGCTTTTTGCCGCCTTTCAAAAAGTCCTTCATTTTAGTCTTCAAGTCTTTTTCGAGCTCCTCATTCACATCCTCTTCCAGCACATTCTCGGTCTTTCTCCGGGTCTCGATATGCTCGTACAGCTCCTCCACGTCGTCGTCTGTGTCTGCCACCGTTGCTGAAGGACCGGATGCTGCGGCACTAGATTGATGCCCTTCCTTGAGCGCTTGAATCCGCTTCTCGTCCTGCTCCCTTGCGCAAATGATAAACTTGCCTGCAGTCGTCTCCGCCAGCGTCTTCCCACTGTCCATCTCCTCCTGCAAGGCAAACTTGACCGGAGCCTGGGACATCAAAGAGCGAAGTATAGTTTCGGCAGACGCGCGGCTGTTCTCGAATCGGAACATTTTCGCTTTCTTACGGAGCATTGGGCGCCAGAATATCCGGCGAAGGTCACTTTCCTTGGTCCCAAGTTCCAAAACCCCTTGACTCGCTTCATCGGGCCACTTAGTTGTAACGAATGTGACGTGGTCCCAGCAGTTCTCGCCGCAAATCTGTTGAAGCAGCTCGAGTTGCCGGACAGCTTCGCCCGTCATTCTGGCGGAGAGAATGTCGTGCAGATAAAGTATCCCTCTCTGTTCGTTCCATCAGCGATATTACAAATCATATCAAGATGGATCGCATCACCATCTGCACTCCCATCGCCGACTGGAGCGCAATCAACCGGGCAATCTCGCTGAGGATGATTGCGTCGGAGCGCCCATGCCGGCTTCTGGTGTCATTGAAACCTGGCGTGTCGATCAGTATAAGAGGCTTTCCATCAAAGCTCGTATAGATTGCGGCGGGCTGCTGTGTGCCTGTGGCGAGGTGTCAGCAAGGCTATGTCTTCCTAAGACCCATCACTGGGAGTCTCTTTTTACATGAACCCAATCTCGCTGAAGTAGCACATGCCCCAGGCACGATCGAATTGATGAAGTGACTTTTGCCTGCGCCTGTGGCGCCTACCAGGAGGATCATGGATGTCTCCTCGGCCTCGCGCTGGATAGCGTCGCCTATCTCTGCCCCAAATTCATCGGCGAATCTGTGTCTCATGACGGGACAAGCTTTGTTTGGTACCGGAGACCATAAAACTAGCAGAGACGCAGTTTCGTAAGGATTTTTCTCTCATGAGAAAGTCTTTCACTCAGCCTCATTTTCCCACCACCTTGTCGCTTCCAGCTGCCCCAGTCCAAGCCTCAATCTCTAACTTGCAGGGCCGAGGCATCGTAGGTCCCAATGATTGGACGATACGGTTACTAGCGTCCGTGAAAAAGGCAGCGGCTAGAGCAATGAGGTGAAGCGAAGGCAGGGATTAGGCTGCATGCCTTTGTGATCAATTTGGAACTGAGCCATCATGAACAAAGAACCGCCCTCAGTCGTACGAGCAGTCCAAGTGAGTATCATCATCGTGCAATGCAGTTCGATATGACGGACGGATCCTGCCATACAGAGCCGAGCCGAGCCATTAGAAGCAGTCAAACTCCGGAGGGGAAACCGTTTTTCTCCATCCGGCTGCAGGGCTGACCGGCTGGGCGATTGAGAGCCTAGAGTGCATGAATAAGATGCTTGTGAGTGAAGTCGCCGACACTTGGCATGGAATGAAAGGTGAATGTGAATCCGAGTGAAGAAATGATGCAACTGCGGCAGCCATGACCGACCGTAGAAATACTTTACGCGTCCCACATGTCACATTGATCGACCGTACCTCTATTTACCTCCACCCGGCATTGACTATGTATAAAAAAAAGTTACTCCTTATAAAGTGTTGATGTCAAGAACATAACCCAGGACATGGCATTACTTCGCCTGATTTGTTCAAAATGGAGTCTCAACACTCAGAGCCTGCTGATACGAATGACGGCTATCGTCGCAACTTCGATGAGGCTCATCGACAACTCGCGGCCGCCATGATTCACCTCTCTAAAATGCCCAAAACCACGCCAGATGGCCTCGATCCAGAATTCGCGGCGTCGAGACTCGTCAGTCTAGAGATCGACGCTCGGAAACACGGTCAAGTCGCCTCTCCCCTCCCACCCTGGCTGGTATTTCACTTGGGACACATTTATTTCAGATCACTCGACATACATTTACAAGCCGATCATTGGACAGACGAAGTGAGGTATATCATCCAGTCGTTACTCAAGTTAGAATACATTTTGGTGTGGGCCTGCTGATATATTACAGATGCGACTATTTTGAATCGAGCCAACAGTTTGTCCTGCGATGGAATTCCAAACCTCATGAGGTACTCCGGACGGAGTTGCGGTTCCAGTCTCCACGCTCACCGCCGCTCCCTGCACGGTCACTGGCCCGATACAGCTGCTGGAAGATTTGCCCAAGAGATCTGCTATTGCGGTTACGTCGCGGTTAAAATCTATCAGTGATATTTTCTCCAACCGACATGATCCAGACATTGCACTTGGACATCCCTCCGCTAGATATCCGGGTGTAATTATCGAAGTTGCAGGATCTGAAAAGGGGAATGCGTTGGAACAACTCGCAAACGAATACCTGTGTCACTCTGGTGGACAGATTCGCCTCATGGTTGGCATCAAGACGGAATTTTCTGACGAGAAGGGAAACAAGAGTAAGAAGGCGAGATTTTCTGTCTGGAAGCCGCTGTCGACTACTCAAGATGGGACGCAATCGATTCATGCAGTCTGCACTGCCAGTGAGGTGAGTCTGAGTCAACTTAGCCTCTCTCGACTTGGCAACTGTCTTTACTGACTCGATGTCTAGGTGATGTTTCGGAATGAGGAAGGTGTTCCCAATCTAGACGCCGAGTTGAGGTTCTCCCTGAGCGACTTCGCGGCTCCAGCCGTTATCAAGCGTTCCGACCTTTCGTCAACCACACTATCCCCATCACTGCCGCTGAGCTTTGTGCGTGTCTCAAGAAATCAGAAAAGTTCGAGACCACCACGGATTGAACTAGAAGAACCATGATGGAAGGATGCATCAAAATACGAGGTCAGAACAGCCTGGTAGGAGCGACGAATCAAGCTGGGCTTTCATACGACTTTCACAGTACCTCGGTCTCACGGCGCTCTGATGTCTGCAACTTCCCTGGGGGCTGGTGATCGGTGGCACGACTGCACAACAAATGAGCCACGAGGCAGATAGTCAACGAGACTTTTATTAATGGCTCTTGGTCCGGGCTGTTGGAAGGCGGCCAGTGGTGAAATGGCTCATGAATCATGACTTTGCTTGTAGTGATACCCCCGATCAGCAAATTGAAGCCTTTCAATCATTTTCAAGGTTCATTTTTGACATTGTAGTTGTAGTTGACATCGTTGATATGTTAGTTCGTACGAGACTGAGAGGTATTAAGTCCGCGTCAAGCTCATGAATTAGATCGACAGCGGTCCAGCCCGTTCCTGCGAGTGTTACTGTAAATGGCCATCCGCGGAGACTCCCTACCTAGTTACCTACATATTCACCAAGACAAACACTACTATTGCCGCCGGTACTCTTGCTGTTGCTCCTGTCTGTCCCAGCATCTCCGGATCTCCGAGGACCTCTCCATACCTCTCCCCACTACGAACCCAGATTCCTTCGCAGATACGGTAGTGAGAGAGGGGTCCCCGCGGAGGTATAGCTACACTTTGTGCCTTTCCACGAAACGGTGACACATCGGGTGGCTAGCCAAGTCTGTCGATTGGACCCATATTTTTCCCGGTCTTTGTTTTACGAAATAGTTTGTTCTCCACATTTTTCCTGCTCCTACAAGTGGATGGACGTCATATTAAATATTCGCGCAGGGGCAGAGGCAGATGGATGGGATGGGACGGGGGTGTTGTTGGAGGGAGTTAATGGGAAGACGGGCTTACATCCATGCATGCATGCATGCGTGCAGACATGCATACAAATATACGCTCGATTCGCTTGCCCTGATTACCTACTTACTTCCCAGAATCTGGACCATCTCCGCGGTACATATCTCCACTGGTTCCCCGCCAGCGCGTACCAGAGTCGAAGGCACGGAGAAACCATAATCGAAGAGTTGACCCCGCAAATCACCTCTCTCTTAGCCCAAGGCAGCAAAATGGAGCAAACGCCGAGCTCGATCACATAGACCCAGAAGGGCTGAATCCCATGCAATGCAATGCGTGTGTGTGAGAGAGAGAAGTCACAATCCCAAGCACCACATTCCCACCTCCCTCCCTATCCCAGTCGGAAAGTATCACTGTTACGTAACAACAACCTATGCGAAATATGGAGGACAGTCACACTCGAGATTCGTCCTGGGACTCTGAGCTTTGTCCGCCGAGTAAGAAATCTGAGCGGGCAGAATGAGGCGGAACGTGCGGCGGCGATTTGATGCCGTGACTCGGACGCAGAGGTCGAGTTTATACCGGCGTGACACCAGCGAGGATTCGAAACTGGGGACCGGGTACTTTAGCTGGCCAAAGTTAAGTGTCAAATGGGCTTGGGCTTCCGCGATCGACCGCTGTGCCGTGTCTGTGTTTGTGTCTGGCGTGCCGTCATCTTCTGTAGAAATTAGTCAGGGTCAGGGTCAGGGCAGAGCCAAATCGCAACGGTGCTGCCACCACAAATACTTACGTGGTAAAGTGTGGGGGATTTCCTTCCAGCCTGAGAACTGTACGGGAACTTCGACTTTGGCGTAGACTCCCTCGTTGCGACATAGCGTGCCACGGGAAGACGAGACGTCTTCCAGCGTCGGAGCACTTTCGCGCGGGTCGCTGGAGATATAGGTCGAGAACACCAGGGATGCCACGCACTGGCCGATGACTGGAGCTCGTGGCAGTTCTCGGCAGTTCCTGGTTAAATTGTTGATTTGCATCAGGCTTAACGTGGTAGAAAAGACCGTGTCGTCTGTAGGTTTGCACAAAATCACCGGCAAAGGCTGGCTGGCTTCGATCCGCAGCTCTCTCGTGCGAGATCCGCCGGGACGCCATATCCTCTGGCATCTCGACTCTGTTAGGACGTACTCGCCGGGGAAATCTGCGACACAAAATGGCGGAGGGACGTCCAGGGTCGGGATGATGTTGACGGTGCGGGTGATGCTGGCGACCACTTTGTCTCGGACAAGAGCCTGCACACGGAGATTGTAGCCGACATTGCTTTCTCCCTGATACCGTGGCTGGAGAACAGGGTGTTTCTTCACGCTCTCGAAACTAGGTAGGGATGGGGGGAGGTCTCGTAGGAACCCGCGATTCTGTCCCAGGAGTTCGGACTGTAGAGTCTTCGGTATGTCGAAGTGAAAGAAGCACTTGGGTGTGCTCTTTGCTTGGTCTTCGAGGCCGACGAAATCCCTCGTTGTCTTGATGTCGTCGAGCTGCAGGAGCTGCAGGCGGAGTCAACATAGAGCTCTTAGACAGGTTCCAAGTGTGAATGCCTCATACCCTTTGGATTCCGTGGACGAGGGTATCCACATACCAATCCGCGCTCCGGATGGTGTTTAACAGAACACCTGGTTCTATCAGCACAGGGTTCAAAGCACTGCGGAGGAAAAGCAAACAGCTAACTGACCCTCCAAGGTGACCTTGAGTCTGTCGAAGTCAATGCCTTTTGAGGCTGCTATGGAGATGTAGCCATCAATACCAGCGTCGCCCAAAAAGTAGGGGTCTTTGCTTGGAGAAAGGGCAAGGCCGTTGGTAAAAGTCAACTCCATTGTTCAATGGGCCGACAGACAACAATGTATGCTCTCAGATGATCTGCATGGATAATGTAAAGAGTTCAAATGGCAAGCACAGACACGTGCCCTTCCGCTTGATCGTCCAACTCCCATGCAGCCTCGGAGGATCGACTGGTAATATAGCAATGAGTAACAGGGAGTTATTTAGGTGTAGGTTACCCAAGACATGATTCGACAAGCCACATTGCTTGGAGCAATCACAGACAAGCACTAAATCCAGCAGAGCGGCACGAGACCTGGCGGCGGGGGATCCTCTCCCAGAATGTGCAAGAGTAATGCTTTGGGTAAAAGAGCTAAAATTGATCCGTGGTAGCCTTCTTGCTAATTTGCACCACACGAAGGTGTGGATCTCTCTATGGTATTTCCAATACCACGCGCACACCGAAAGATTATTCGGTAATACATTGAATGTATTGGAAAAAGCCATCGGAGTGTGGAGTATGTAGCCAAGTGAATTGCCGGCGCTCCAATGCTGTCCCATCCCAACGACCTTTCGCTCCCTCCCCAGTTTAAGATTCAGTTCGAAGCTACTACTGCTGCGAGTTCGAAGGCGCAACAACTCGTATTCGCCTAGGCCGCCATTCCCACCACAGCTTATATCAGCCGCAGATCTGCGACCAGGTCAAGGGAGAGTTTTCTGTTGGAGCGATAAAAGTTCTGATCGTTCTGACGATTCCCTAAATTTTGACCATGATACTGTACAGTAGGAAATGCAACCTCCCTCCTCTCATCGGCGTGCGTAGCTCTTGCGAGAAGCAGCACCTTCTTCTCCTTGAGCACACCCGCAAAGTGCGACAGGCCCCCGCCGCATTGAGCTGGAACATCGCAATGGTCTCTCTGGCTATTTTCGACAGCCTCGTCAACATATCTGAATCGCTGTTTTCTCCTGATGCGCAGACCTGACTTAGCGATCGCTCTCATTGCTCAAAATCATACGTTTCCTGACGCGAGACCAGCCTTGGGTCCTCCGCCACCACAACTTTGTCAAATCGAAACGTATCACTCCCATCACTTTTAAAGCCACGACCCGACGCTATGGATGAAGCGGTCAATTTAGATAACTTGTTCAAGTTCCAGGAATGGGCGCCCGCAGAATTCTACCCAGTTTTCAGAAAGCGTAACGAGTGTCGGAACCGCGTGCAACTCCTCTTCCTGACCACATCACACCCTGTGTGACAGCGAATAACATCCGATCGGCAGTAAGCCAGTGCCATAACCCAACCCCATTGACCTCGAGATTTTTGCAAGAGCGGGAGTGGAACCCAGACATATGGTAGCGATTTTCCAGATTGCCTGCGCTACTCGACCGAGTGGAAAGTGACGCTCAACGGCAAAGCGATCTCAAAGGATACCGAGCCCGAAGTGCTATTAGCCCCTGGCTGTTAATGGCGACTTGTCTTGAAAGCCCAGCTCGAGGAGCTCTTACAGAAAAAGCTCCCTAGAAGTCGAGGTGTACGGTCCGAGGATACGACTGCGGTCGTCTGAGTCACGGAACGTTTGCAGCGAGATCCAACCAAAAGATTCGATCAAACCAACATTGATTGAGGGATTGTGGAAAATAACTGCGTAATTGGCGTCAATCCTTCCGGAAGGATAAGAGACTCCGGTTGAACCTTTCATTCAATTATATGGAGGCGACCCGTTCGATGGCCAGGGCTGCTGCGAGGAAGGATGACAAGAGAGGATCCGACATCGGAAGTCCCATTCATCAGTCATCTTCTTGATCTGTGGAAAAGTTTCTGTAGACGAGATTTTGTTCCGTATTTCCAGACTCGGTAGGCGTATGTTGGGTGTCACTCTCACTCGGCGTGAGCTGCAAAGCCTGAAGCCGATCTTGAATCTCAATACACCGTTTCGAGGAAGGTCCTTGGACGGCTGCATAACCCGACAGTGCTCGAGTGTACATTTCTTTCGCTGTATCTGTTCGATCTGTTTGCGCGTAGAGGTTACCAAATGAGAATATAGTACTTAACGCCGGCAGATATGACGAGACACGCTCGACCCCGAATGCCTCCTCGTAACCTTGTAGCGCTCGAACGAACATCTTCTCCGCCTCGACTAGCTTGCCTTGAGCGTTGTAGAGGAGGCCTAGGCTTCCGACTGCATAGAGTGTCGATAGATGGTCTGGTCCAAGTACCTCCTCGCAGCCTTGTAGCGCTCGAACGAACATCTTCTCCGCCTCGACTAGCTTGTCTTGGGCGGTATAGAGGAGGCCTAGGTTATTGACCGTATGGAGTGTCGATATGTGGTCTGGTCCAAGTATCTCCTCGCAGCCTTGTAGCGCTCGAACGAACATCTTCTCCGCCTCGACTAGCTTGTCTTGGGCGATGTAGAGGAGGCCTAGGTTATTGACCGTATCGAGTGTCGATATGTAGTCCGGTCCAAGTGCCTTCTTAAAGCCTTGTAGCGCTCGAACGAACATCTTCTCCGCCTCGACTAGCTTGCCTTGGGCGATGTAGAGGCGGCCTAGGTTATTGACCGTATTGAGTGTTAATATGTGGTCCGGTCCAAGTGCCTTCTTAAAGCCTTGTAGCGCTCGAACGAACATCTTCTCCGCCTCGACTAGCTTACCGTGGGCGTTGTAGAAGAGGCCTAGGTTATTGACCGTATCGAGTGTTAATATGTAGTCCGGTCCAAGTACCTTCTCAAAGCCTTGTAGCGCTCGAACGAACATCTTCTCCGCCTCGACTAGCTTGCCTTGGACGTTGTAGAGGCCGCCTAGGTCATTGACCGTATCGAGTGTCGATATGTGGTCTGGTCCAAGTGCCTCCTCGTAGCCTTGTAGCGCTTGAATGTACATCTGCTCGGCGGCATTAAACCGTACTTGATATCTAAGAAGCTGCGCCAGTAACACCATCGCATCTAATCTGATCCGTACTGAGTCGTTCCGGTTTGCTGCTGTCCGAAAGCGACCGTGCACCAACCGCTCGGCATGCCTCGTGATCGGCCGATATCGAATCGTCGACAGATGATCCCAGTTTTCGTCCTTATCGACGTGGCTAGCCACACAGTCAAACGCTAACCAGTATTGCCTCGCGTCGATCGGTTGGTTCAACCCCTCTAACGTCCAGTCATGGACACACACGTGAAGACTGTATGACCCAGTCTGATAATGCGCTTCCACGAGACAGTATCGTGTGAGAATATGCATCGTATCCTCAAACACACACTCGTCGCCCGCTAATTCCGTAAACCACGCCGGTCGGTTGTCACCTTGCACTCTTGTGAAGAGTTGGAACCAGACATCCTGGTGATCCAAATACGCTAGAAATCGCAAGAGGTGTGCTGCACGTGGGCATTGTTGCTCAATCCGCGTGAATGATAGAGTCCATGTCATGTAGAGTGTGCGCGAAGGATACTCGGGCAATGCCTCCATCGAATCAATCACTTTCCATCGCGCGTGATACTGTCGAAGATACTGGCCAAAGCTGATCGAAGACTGACTCAAAAAGGCTCCCGCTGTTGCCAGAGCTAAGGGATGCCCCTCGAGTCGCTGGGCCAGGAGTCGGGCATCTTGGTCTTCAAACGGTTAGCAATAAACAGCGAGTAGTGAATTAACCTCCCTTACCTGATTCTGCGTTGTCGCGTCCGGACCGAGTAGCTAGAATTCGAAGGCTGTCGTCTTCCTTGCTCATCGATTGCACCCGCACCTCGACTCCGTTCACTCGACCCGGCTGTCGCGTGGTGACGATGACCGAGCCTTGCGCGACATATGAGAAATATGTATGAAGCGAGTACTCGTCCGGATCGTCGTAATTGTCGAAGATAAGTAGCCACCGAGTGTTGTCGTGTTCCGAGAGCCAATTCGAGATGGACACACGAATCTGCTCGCCGTCAAGCTTACCGACTGTCTCCGGAGGTAGCACTCGATGGGCCACATTCCGTAAGCTCGTCTGAAGGCTGACCTCAGAGGTGGCATTCAGCCAGAAGACGGACGAATAGTCGCTCCGATGTCGTTTGGCATAGGAAATCGCCAGCTGAGTCTTGCCAATTCCACCCATGCCGCCGAGAACAAGCACCTTTCTGCGGGAGTCGACTGTGTCGGACTGAGGCTGCAAGATCGACTCCATCCGGTGAATCTCGCTCTGTCGACCAATAAAGAAATCCTCATTCATGTCCGGAGCATCGTAGAGATTGAGACCGAGATTATATTCTACCGAGACATCAGCACTTCTATCCTATACATAGAAGTCAATCCACGATATATTTAGCTCTAACTACCTCGGGGAGATGATTTGCAAGACTTACTCATAACCTCTGCGGCCTGTTTGACCGACATCACTTCTGCTGGCTTGACAATGGCTAACAGTTCTTTGGCAAACCCGGCAGCGGTAGCCGCCGCATATTCCTGCCACACGTCATTCGTATGGGAATCGGCATAGTCACAGATCCCTCGCACCACAACACAGGGAAAATCAGGCATCAATCCAGCGGCCTCCATTTCCACACACTTGGCGCCGAATTCGCGGCCCAGCCGAGCCCGTTCGACCACATTCTTCATCAATTCGTTTCCTGAAGCAATGACCCCGTAATGAACCTCGGGACTGTGGTCTTCACGAGGCTGTCGGTCGACAATGCCGTTCTGACATTCGGTGCAATGACCCCCGTCTTGGTGGCCTTCGATGTTGCTGCAAAACAGTGTATCGTTCTCCACACCAGGATGCACGTACCCTCCCTTGGCCAATCGTGGAAATCGCTGGACCATTGCGGAAAGAATTTCGGGGATCTGTGAACCATACATTTGGTGTTTTGATTGGAGGTTGGCCAGCGCGGTCAACAGGAGAGTTGGAGGTGGCCGGAGCATGCCCTTCTGCTCGAATACTCCATCTCCCAGATTCGTCCGGAGGTCGTACTGCACCACGCCCCCGTGCGTCCCATCAGGCTGACTGACCACCACGTCACCGAGCCTAATGTCCCCGCCTTTGTGGGAGCCTGGGATTCCTCCCCCGATGCCAACCATTAGGCCGAAGCGGATGCCAGTAAAAGTCCTCAACATGTTGGTCGCCACGGTCGCCGCGGAGACGGTGCCATACACTCCGGCAGGCAGGCACGCCATCACCACGTTGTGACCATGAATGCGTCCCAGCACGTAATTGTTATTGTCGTGCGGCACTTGATTCGAGTATGGTTCATGCTCTTCGTCCAGCATCACCCGCGCGGCCGTCAGCTCCTTGGGGAGGGCGCACACCCAGCCCACCTGGTACTCTTCGATCGGTAGAGAAGGCATCGTCGAGAAGGCTCAGGGGACAAGCAAGACGAGATCGTAAGGGCAATCGGTGATGGCAGGAGAGGCAGGATCTCGCATCGGTAGGGGTTGGGAATAACGGGAATCTCAGGATCCAGAGGACCTGGTGTCATGGAAAGAGCTGGTACGCCGACCAGGTCTGGATACGGCTGAACAAGAGAGCGATGTGTTGGCACTCTCATTGTGCTGGCACGTGATCGTTGCATACTAACCTCGATTGCTTGCTGCAACCGCAGAAGGAGATTTGAACACAGGTGGGAATATCGATGGTACTGTACTGTACTTCGACGCAACCACCTCTTTTCATGTTGGCTCTCCTTGCATCCCTCGAGTACGGGGCATTTAGCCCTCTGAGAGCGGTTGGCAACGGTCGAAGTCGATTTTGAGTAAAATCGTTGCTGCTATTAATGTTCGCTGCCTCAGATACAGGAAGATGCGGTCGTGCCAAGTCTGTGCTCGCTGTCGATTGGTGAATGCGAGGATCTGCGCTTGGATGCGATACTGTATGGGGCTAGACTCGACACTTGTGAACCCGAATGTATTTTGTGTACATGCGAGATGAAGGCGCAATTGAATCAGTGTGTACTGTAAGAAGAAACGTAAGGAATTGTCTCTTGACGTTTCCGAGCGCGCATATTTGCAGATGAGTCGCAATGAGGGTGGCATATTTGTTCGGCTTGTTATTTTGGAGAGGTTAGCTGATAGCGACGGAAGCACGAGTTGCCCCGAAACCTAGCCTTAGATGTTGCGTACATAGATCGAACATGCCTTCCAGCGAATTTGAGTGCTAGTGAAGGGGCGAATGGGCGAAGGGGTGAGGCATGTCAAGGTGTTACTGTACATAGCTGTGTTGTTCGCGACGAGATATTCGCGACTGGAATAACTCCGCCGGTAATCTATTCCCAATAAGAAAGGTCTATCGACGTGCCTGACTCTCAATCGCCTTTTTGCTTCGAATGAAAGCGCCAACGGAGACTCGCGGAACGGTAAAGAATATACTAGCTGTATGGCTCATATTACATAAACATGTCTTTACAACTACTGTCACCGAACTGTAACCAAGCTCGAAAACTGGGTGGTTTTAATCGTACGTGGTGATTGGGTAGAGCTTCCGGGGAGCAATTACATATTTAGCTAGACCAGGTCCACCGATTCCTTTGCTCCCGCCGAGACAAAGTCGCAATGTGTCCTCAAAGGGGAGGGCTGTTTCAGTAGTAATGAGGAGGGACTCACTATCAGATCAAGGGTATCATGTTTGATTGGCCGCTGGCTCATGGCTATTTAGTGACTACTAGCCGAATTCTGAGAGGGCGTCTTCTCTCTGTCAGACTGTGCCAATTTTCTTCTTCTTCTGGAGGCTCGCCCTAGAGACCGGAACAAACGGAGATTGTCGATCTGCGTGGGACTTTTCTATGAGTAAATTCCCTCAACCTGGCCTGGGTAACCATCTTCTTCTGGACGCCTTGTGACCTCATAATACCTCATTCGTCCTTCCTCCGCCTCTCCAGGGTCGGCAAGAACTTTCCGGAGGGTCGTTGTATTCAACTTCAAACAGCTAGGGAAGCCCAGGTGCCTCAGAGTGGGAAACGAGGCGTCACCACGGTGTCGCCATATTGAGAAGCTTCAGAGGAGACTTTGCAAAAACATACGTAGTTGTAACTCCAGATGTTTGACCCCTTTCATACCTCACTGACTTCTACAGATCATCCCGCCATCCTGCCCGATTCCATCCTGCGTTGCGGAACTGCCCGTGACATTCCACAGTTCATTGCCCACACAGGGCTTGCACCAGAATATCCCTTTCGGGTCGTACTTCTTCTTGAGAGCCAACAGCCGCGGGTAGTTTGAACCCCAGAAGGTGGTTTGCCAATTCGGCTCTGTTGGATCAGCTTCGTTCACGTACGCTCCCGTGTAAGGATCGAGGATTCGCAGGGCTTCAATGGCTCTATTGCGGAGCGCGTCTGTTACAGCCGTCTTTTCAGTCTGGTTTAAAGGTGTCCATTGGCGGTAGGTGACTTGACAGAAGAGGGAGGCTGGAGTCAGCACGGCGCTACCGCGTGGATAAGTGAAGACAGCAGTACGATATACTCACCGAAATGAATATAGGTGTTGTTTCGCCACGCGGGACACACCGAGTTGTTCCCACCGGGTATTTTAGCATCGCGCACCCCTTTCCCCGCGACCAGGTGGTTGAGGAGTGTCCAGGTGCCATTTGATGCAGTGCGCAGTGCATTTTCCAGCGCTGTTTGGTTCCCCGTAAGAGCACCGCGGGTCAAGAGGCGTGAACCTAGACGCTCAGACGGTCCTACAGTCTCAGGCTGGTTCGTCATCCAAAACTTGGTGAAATCTGGGATCGGGATGGTTTCGGTGGCGACAAAGACCCCGTCACCCCAGTCTGTTGTGTTGATCTTGGTGATGACGGGACCCAGGATTGTATTGACCTGGGTGGCAGTTTTATTCGGGAAGAAGTAGCCACCGACTATAACCCCTGCCTGGTCCGGAGGGTTTGGCGGAGCATATGGGACAAAGTAGTGGTATCCATTGGCACCTTTGTCCGACAGGCTGGGAACCTGCGAGGTGAAATATGTAGAGATTGACCAGAAAGTGTCGCTGTTGGAAGTGGTGTTGATGGAAAATATGGCAAGGCTGCCAGGAAGAGTGGGATAGACCTTCATGGTGACGCTGATGAGGACGCCAAAGGTTGAGCCTCCACCCTATAGCTTCGGTCAGTCGATTCCTTGGTAGGACGGTTGACATAGTAGCTCACCCCTCGCATGGCCCAGAATAGATCTGGGTACGATTTCTCGTTGATGGTGACAAACTCGCCGTCTGGAGTAACCACTTCCATCTCGAGGATCTGGTCTGCTCCAAGTCCATACGTAGAGCTGATGGGAGAATGACCACCCCCGAGGACCCATCCACCAATACCGACCGACATGTCACCACCTGCAATCACCGTGAGATTATGCTTTGCAACCTCTCGGTAGACCTCCGCCATCCTCGATCCAGCGGCGATCTTGACCGAGCCAACTCCGCCATATGGAAGAGCCCGTGGATCACTAGTATTCACCGAGACACCCACAATATTGTGTGTCCATATCGACAGAGACTGGCCTCCAGACGACCTGATGCGGTCAATTGCGTTTCAATAAAAAAGAGGTTTATGACTCTTACCTGGACAGGAGATCATGACCAGTTCCTTTGACAATCAATCTCACCCCTGTGTTTGCAGCAAACTCCACTGCCGCTTGTACATCAGATGCCTTGGTAGCGTGGACAACGTAGGATGGATAAGCAGCGACAGAACAAGGCGCCAAAGGCGATGGCAGACATCCGTCATCATTGTAGTCCGCCGAAATGGGGTTGTTGGCATGGAAGCTCGAGTTTGTCCATTGCGAAAGAACAAAAGCACAGGTGACATTGTTGAACAGTGAAGTTCCTGGGTGACAGACAGCCCCAGGAGGTACGTCCACAAAGAGTCTTCCAGATATAGTCTCATTCAACTTTTGCCATGCCGATTGAGCAGGCCAGTTTTGCGAGGACGGAACGGGCTTGCAATATATAGCAGGGTCGGCAAGGGTCTGATGTAGATAGACGAGAAAGAACAAGAAAGCCGTCAAAGGGCCGCGAGGCTTTAGATGGTTCATGCTGAAGAAGTGGGTACCAAGCGAGGGCAGCATCGGATCAGGCCGGTATTCACACTCACATTCTTGTTTGCCATGGAATCAGGAAACTTCTCTGCGCTGGCACTTATATAGCCACCACCAGCTCGTCGCATTCGAGCGGAAACATAGATCCTCGACGCGTGTGACAACTACATGACGACGACGGCCATTCCTCTTCCAGAAATCCGAATACGACGCTCGATTCTGCCTTGCAAGGACATTCGCCGTGGGAGTTGTAGGAAATTCAGGTGCTCGAGTGTTGGACAAACCAACATCGACTAGGTCATGATGTCTGCAAATGTTCGAATCTTTCACCCTGTGTTGTCTGCCTTGGCTTCCTCGACCACTCTGAGAACGGATAGAGGAACAAGTTCTCCCAGACTTTCGCAGAATGAGCCTAAAAGTGCAAAGCGCCAATCTCAGACGCGGGGAAGAGAAGCTTCTCCTCTCAACTCTGGTCAGAGAGGAAATCTCGCTAAACTATTCGCGGGAAGTGTCAAGGCTGACTCGGATTTCGCCTCGCTACAGCTACACGTGGTAAGCGGGTGCTGGTCGATGCGATACACACCAACCCAGGGCTTCTATTGCTTGGTCAATTGGAGCACATGCCTTTTTGCTGGGATGCTGGTCAGATTACTGTTTGAGCGATGCCATCCCCTCTTATTCGGCAAGGAGACACCAAATCACCACAGAATATAGTCCCACGTGTGAAAATAGAGTGGGTTTTATCCAAGCAAAACCATGAACGGCAAAAGTATGGAATAGGAAATACGGGGTTGGCTTTGAATAGTCAACACCCGAGGCGAGACCGAAATGGTATTCACAACCTCAGTCGCGCGCGTTGATAAACAACGATGTCTACGTTGACAATCAATGTCGACTTCGTCCTCCTCCCCTTCGAGGATTCCGAGAAGGTTATATATGCCAGAAGACGTCTATGGCGGTGGACAAGATCAAACCTTTCAACGATCCCCGGGTGCAGCAGCGTTCGGCGGTTCTCAATGGCCTGACCTACGGCTATTTATACTCTGAACCTCCTCCATCCGTGGCTCGACGGGGAACCGTCCTCCTCGTCCATGGATTCCCGGACCTTTCATTCGGATGGAGGTATCAGATTCCGTTCTTGACGTCGCTCGGTCTCACGGTCATTGCTCCAGACTGCGTGGGATATGGACGGACCGACTCCCCTCCACATACATTATCAGACTATGGATACAAGCGCGCGGTGGACGACCTGGCCGCGTTGTGCGAACAGCTTGGCCTGGCGCAGATCATCCTGGGAGGCCATGACTGGGGTTCCGCCGTCGCCTGCCGCAT